ATTAACCGGCTGGTTAAACCGATAACCGACGGTTACCGGTTAACCGATAACCGAAAATTATATGATTCGGTCGGTGGTCGGAGCTCTTAATAGGTATTTTGGTTAACCGATTAACCGAAAACCGATTATCCGGTTAACCGACAATAACCGAAAATAACCGGTTATGAAGTTTATAACTTTATGTTGTTGAATTTGAGACATTAATTTGGTGATTTAGATATATTTTCTATGCAAAAGTGATTGAGACTTTACTTTGGTTTGTGATTTAGATGTAGAAATGTAAGTTAGAACCTTTCATTTTAGGCGATTCTAATAATTTTACCCGGTTAAAACCGAACCACCATCATATTTCGGTTATCTCGGTTAACCGACCAACTAACCGATAACCGACCGGTCGGTTATTGGTTAACCGAGGCATTGGCGTCGGTCGGTGTTCGGTAGGGGGAGATGGTGGTTCGGTTAACCGATAACCGACCAATCGGTTATCGGTTATAACCGAACCGAATCCACCCCTATATAAGATGTCGTCGTTTCCTCACATCTTGAAAGCATGGCTTAAACGAGAATGAGCTCGACCCCAAATTTTCTTTTTATGAATTTTTCAATGCTTTGTATATATCAAAACAGTGGAGCATATGTAAGAAATGAACTAAGTTCGATGTATGACAAGCGAAATAAGAGCATAAAATGAGAAGTAGAGCTGGTACAAAAGGTAATGTGATCGAGACTAGCAAATTCAACCTAAATAAGAGAGACAAAGACACATTTACTAATAATATTGCTCGACTCCGTCAGGGGCATGGCCGGGATTTTGTACAGGGTGGGTCTATTTAAAAAAAAAATACATATGATAAAATAGTTTTGTTAGCCTTTTAAAACATCCATGATATAATTTTGTATTTACAAAAACATGGTAAATTAAATATTTTTCGAAACTGTAAAAAAATACCGTTCTAAATATATCAAACAGTTATTCATGATTTAGTTAGACAATTGTTTTTGAATGGTGTTCTTTGTCAATACCATTTAGTATCAATAAGTCAAGTTGTTGCGAAAGATTTTATATTTGATCTTATACTATTTAGTATTTACTAACGTTTTCCCACTAACGAAAACCAACTTATACGTGCTTAAAGTTTTTGCCAATTCGAATATAATGTGCTTAATAAACTGAGTCACCAAAATTCAAACACACGATTTCTTGGTCGACCATTCTCAATTAGAAGTGCCATAAATTTTATTATCAATTAACTATTGTACTAATTTACTCATTTTCGTCACTAAGAGCCACCTGTTACACTCTCCCTACCATCCATTGAAATAAAATTATGTTTACAAATTAGGTGGATCATACATAGTTTGTTTTAAAAATATTGAATATGTCAATACACAACTTTGAAAACATACGTAAAATATTCAAATAATCAATCATTCTCATTTAAATACATATTATTTTTCCTACCCGATTAACTATTATACCGAATTTACCGTTATTCCTCCCGCCCACCCTCTATCCCTCTCCCTCCTCCCCTGGACTCCGTTATAGTGGATTCAAAACCGAAGTTTTAATATAGAGCAATTAATGTACAACAACTTTGTTAATATACACATTTAAGTTATGTATTTTGTAATACAATATAAATTAGGGACTAAAAATGGCATTATGCTATATATATTAATTAAGTATAAAAAATATGTTATGTCAAACTCATACAACAGTTTTTCCTATTGAGTTTCCATCCATCCACTTGTTCCAAATTGCCAACGTAAGGAACTGTAATCTGTTGGATTTCCAACTTGGAACCCATTGAAGAAATGAGCTACATAGAAGGACATCTATCCATATAATATAATTAATTGATTAATTAATTTAATGGCATCTGGAGATGGAATATATATGCATACTAAAATAGCAACACATATCGGGTGCATGTCTATCCATAGAAAAGTTTGGGGAGAAAGAATGGCAAATAAATGAAAACGACGGGGATGGATGAATGAATGGGCTATTTGCTCGAGAAAGATTACTAAAACCAAAATAATTGCCCAATAGCAAATAATAATAATAATAACTATATATCAAGCACCCAATAATGGATCACTTTTATAATCATAGAATTAGACCCCAACAAAGATAAAGAGACATCAGGAAAACCAGAAGGAGACAAGACAGCGGATGAGGATTGAGCCAGACACCCTCTGCCACTTAACTAACTAGTTAGGTATCTTACATTTGTTCACCTGGCTACATTGTACAAAAAGAGAAATTTTACAATGCTATATAGTATTGATGCTATAAGATTTGGCCTTTATGGTACAACTTAACATTGTACATTTACGTTATGGTACAACTTCAGATTGTACCTATACTTTTTGTACAAATTCTGTTATGGTACAATTTGAACTTGTACCTTTATGTGATGGTACAACTTCAAGTTGTAAAGTTGTACCATAACATAATGATACAAATTACTTTATGGTACAACCTAAACTTATACATTTAATGTTATGGTACAACTTTAAGTTGTACGTTAAAGCACCAATACTATATAGCATAGTAGAAGTGCTCTGTACAAAAATGGGTTTATGATTTAGGAGGTTTTTACGAGCTGGAATTTGTATAGATTATAGACGGTATTCCGTTTGAATTCATTGTTAGTGTTTTAGATCGAGATGAAGAGAATTTAGATAGGATAGAGTTTTTAAGCAAATCTTGTATTTGATAGAGTTCGAAAAATAAATCTTCTATTTGATAACATTACCGTGTATAAAATAATTTATTTCCTAGAATTGAATTGTTGATATATGTATTGAAAACCCGTTGATTTACTTTGAATACCGGTGATGTTTAGAAACCGAAACTCTGAATTTTAATAATACGAGTGGTGAATGTAACTACTTTATGAAGTCTTCATTTTCTTTTTACATAAAATTATGTGGAATACGTACCTACAAAAAGAATGATGCTATACAAGTCTCAAACTTTCTAGTTGATACTCGAGTGAGATTGAGTGCTAGGTCCAAAACCAAAATTTAGGCCAAGTCCATTGAAAATGAAAGACACGAAGAATGAGAAACCGGCTAATTAAAAAAACTATTTAAATTCCGCCAATCCAAATTCAGGAATACAATAATAATTGTAGTGGGTCAAGAAATAATCATTAGATTTTACATTTACGAACTAATGAATCACTTGATTTATTGTTTTGACAAATTTATTGTTGAAGTTCAAAGTAACTAACATAATAATCCCATTGTTCATACCAATTGAGATCATCATACACATTGTTTGCATTAGTGTGTCGATTGTTCAAAATACATTGTATCTGATTAATATATAGGAAAGAGTGAATCCAGAGTGTTACATATATCGTCATTGTTGCAGTGGGATTGAATAATAAGTCGGAGTTCAATCTTGCTGCAGGGTTCCCGACAAGACAATGAGTTAGCTATTTTTTTTATATAAGGAAAGTCTATGTCACAGTTTTCATCATTGATCACATCTTTATAGTCTACACGGAGACAAAGATAGTTTAGCACCGATACTACGACCTCTGATTATAATTGCAAACTATTGCCACACGAGTCCCACCCGCTACTAATTGAAGAAACAACCACTGTTCCGAGGCGGAGTTTTGATTAGCTAGCTGTTAATACCATTTGCAATTTTGTTTTCCACTTCTACCTTAGATTACTCATTTTACAATGCATGTCCACGGAAGTGCTTGGATCAATGTTAGATTGTATGTGTTTCTTGGTTGTTTGTATACTCTTATCGTCAATGAAACTGGACAAGTATCAAGATTTCATAACCATAGCTCTCAAAAACCCCTCAATGCACTCTTGTATAATTTGGATAAAAAAAAGAACTTAACAGAGATTGACAACTCAACTATTGTGCTTGTTATTACAAAACTTTAGTAGCAAACTTGTTAAAATCAATAACCAATGACTAATTTGTTTAGTTACCAAAAGTTTGGTGTCTCCAATTGTAATTGATGCTAATTTTGGTACAAATGAAGACTTGGCCATGGAAAAAGAAAGGAAACAAAATAATAACAATTCCACAAACACACAAAAGAAAGAAAAAACGAAAGAAGGAGGGTGGTTCCTTGTTCCCAACGCATCTTCTTCCTTTCCTTTCCACGGGGCTTTTCCGAAAAGGAGTTTTTTTTAGGTCAGGAGCAAGGAATTAGGTTCGGGGACAACCGAACCAGGAGGGTTAGTGAGTTGATGTTTAGTGCATCCACTTTGATTCTTTCAGCTAACAGAAGTCCTTCAACTTTAAACTATGACAATCAAAATCCTTCAACTTACAAAATTGAGATTCTCATCTACGACGAGGACTTGGCCAGTCATTCGTATCAGTACTTGATGGGCGTTTGAGGCAAGGTAATTCTGACTCACATTATCGCGGAAACTTTTAGTGTTGTTTTGTGGACTGGTCTACGGAATTGAATTGTCACAGTCTTTGTACTACTAACTTAGACCACTAATCAAAAGTACCTACTAACGATCTCGTCCAATACATTTAGCTTAGGTTATGTTAATGTGTCTCTAATCACGACATTGCTAATTGCCCCAAGTTCCATACCTCTTGACAATGACTAACTTTTTTGAACGAGAATCAAAGTCTGCTTGTCAATTTGATCTTGAAGAAATGCGTACAAGATCTGTTTATTCTTGCGTGACGTGACGTATGATATGCCATATATTGCAGGTGTCACTCTTTTCATTGGATTACCTAGCATAAACGAAATTGGTTAATTACTACTATGAATCTATAGTCTCATGCAATGTAGAAAAGGATAATTAAGGATTCCAGATTCCATGCATACCCACAAATTTTTGAAGAAAAGAATTTCAATGAACCACAATATGGAAAGTCTCCTCTTTTAAAATAAAAAGAAAAAGTCAACGGATTTGATTGTCACAATTAGAAATTTAGAGGCCGAATAGACCAAACTATAAAAAAGTAGCGCCAAATTGCACGTTGGCGCCAAAAAAGAAGGAAACGCGCACTTCCTCCTTGAGCTTGCCCTTCTGTTTCTGTAGACTTTTCGTCAGGATAAGAACAAGGCCTCTTTCCCTCCCCTTCCCCCAAAAATTTATTTCCTTTTCCCCGGAAACAATTTTCTCATTTCCATTGACTCTCCCTCCCTCCCCTCTCTCACACTACAAAGGAAGGAGCCGATTTTCTCAGCCGCCTTCACTTTGCCCCAAAAACTCAGCTCGCCATTCTCAAAACCAACCCCCCTCTCTCTACTCTACTCCCAAGCTTCACTTTGTTTCTTGAGCAATCCTCTGTTTTCTTTCTATTTCTTGGTTTTCTCCTCCGCCATTGACTCATTGGGTCGTTGTTTCAAGCTGGCGATCGATAGTCAGGACACAGCTATCAAGCCCAAGAACAGGAGAATCATGGTGAGTTTGAAAACCGATACAGCGCTCCAATACCCTTCTTCCTCCCTTTTTTTTTTGGCTTTTTTTCCTTGTCATTCTTTTATTTTTACTGGGTGATTCCGATGGTTGTTTGGTTCCGATTTCCGTTTCTGGGTCTTCTTTCAAAAGCGACAACAATGGCGGTTTCAGTCCCTTTTTTTTGAAGTTTCTGGGTTCATAAAAGTCGATTTGAGCTAAGTTTGACTGAGTTGACCAACTCTGTTCTTTGTTTTGAACAGGGTGCTGGAGGTCCAGATGAAGTGGACTGTGGCGGTGGCAGGTGGCCGCCATGGTTGAAGCCACTGCTAAGGGAGCGGTTCTTCGTTCAATGCAAAATCCATGCCGATTCCCACAAGAGCGAGTGCAATATGTACTGCTTGGATTGTATGAATGGCCCCCTCTGCTCTCTCTGCCTCGCCTACCACAAGGACCATCAGGCCATTCAGGTATGAAAAACTGGCTTCGCCGCTTGGAAGTTAGCTTTGCTCGTAACTTTCTGAATTTGGGTTTTCAAATTTGATTGATTATTCCCCCAATCAGCCTTTGCTCCGTTGAGATTTTGTTTGTAGCTGACTACAAAATGAGGGGGTTTCCTGTTTCTCTCATCAATCTGACACAAACCCTACCAGTCCTTTGACTTTACCAATGAGGGAAAATCTGCATTCATTCCGTCTTCTTTACTCAAATCATCTCCATGGGTTTTTGTAACTTTTGATTGATTTCAGATGGGTCTTCTCCTATTTGGTATTTAAAGGGTATTGACTTGACATTTGGGTGCTTCATTTGAGCCAAGCTCTAGCATTCCCATTTGAACTCTTGCCATTTCCCCCAATCTTCATTAATGAGTCTCTTCTTTACTCAACGGGTGCTTCTGTAGTTTTGCTTGATTTCAGTTGGGTTCTTTCTTGACATTTTGGTTTTGCTTCTTCTAGATAAGGAGGTCTTCCTACCATGATGTGATCAGGGTGAACGAGATACAGAAGGTACTGGACATCACTGGCGTCCAGACCTATGTAATCAACAGTGCTAGAGTCGTGTTTTTGAACGAAAGGCCTCAGCCAAGGCCGGGTAAAGGTGTCACCAACACTTGTGAGGTCTGTGAGCGCAGTCTCCTTGACTCCTTCCGCTTCTGCTCACTTGGTTGCAAGGTATGTAGAGCTTATCAGTCAATTGCTTTCATCTTAACAAACTTTAAGCTGAGAATGAGCTAATTATGATCATTTTCGGTTAATGTGGGTTGGTTTGTATTGTTTGTTCTTAGATTGTGGGGACATCAGGGAACTTCCAGAAGAGCAGGAAGCAGCAGCAATTAACTGCAATGGGATCGGACTCAGAGGAATCCTACAACAGCAGCAGCAGCCATAGCCATGGAGTGAGGCATTTTAAGAGCAAGTACAATGGTGGTGGCGGTGGGCATTATAGCAATATCATCGACAGAATCGAGAGCTTCTCTCCGTCAACACCACCTCCAACTTCGACGAGTTTCAGGACAGCTAAACGCAGGAAGGGGATACCTCATAGAGCCCCCATGGGAGGGCTCATCATAGAGTACTAAAGGCAAATGGTAAATTTTTAATGAATGAAAACTGAAGAATGGATGGTGGTGTTTGTTATACAGAGAAAAACAGAGAGTAGTGTATTGTAATTTGCTTCCTTTTGGTTTCTTTTTGGTGGCATCACTCATCAGTAGCCCTTTCTCATCAGCTTGGTGGGGAAAGGGGCATAATGTTTATACAGAAGCAGTAGGGCAATCACAAGTGGGGGATGAAGTCTGGAAAAAGGATGAATGCATATATAGATGAAAATGAAGGTGGAAAGGTAGTAGAAGTAGAATTACTTTGTTTGTAGTGTATGGAGTAGAAGACTATGTTTGCATATAGCTACAAAATAATGGTTAAGCCACCAAAAGCAAGAACATAGCATCATCTTCCCACTTGTTTTGTTCATATAACAAGAAGTGTAAATATACTTTAGCTAGATAGCATCTTTCCACTTGTTCTCTGTTGCGTAGAATGTGATAAAGCTATATATATATATATATAATGGTGTCCATTCCAAGTGGAGAAAGGAATGGCTTGTGATAATGTGTATATGTAATGTGTGTATATATTTTGGAAAGGAGAAGAACCCAGAAAGTAATAAAGAGGAGGGTTGGTATTCCTTGTAAGATTCGGATTTCTTCCTCTTTTCTCTCCTTCCAATTAATGGATGGTGGTAAGTGGTATTTCATAAGTTGATGTTATTCCCCAGTTTTGGAAAACTTGATGGCTGACAACATTTCTTCTATCATGATAACTCGAACTCGAAAGCTATAGCCCGATCGATACCAGATGATCGTTGTTTTCAGAAGTGGTGTCGAGCAATATACGTGATGATCCAACGTTATCAACATGTACTGATAACGACTTTTATTGCAGGTGGCAAGTTCCGATTGAAGGGCTAACTTGATTTTGGCTTCATAACCCCTATAACAAAAGATTGTTCAACTGTAAAAACTACCGAATCACTGCTACAGAAAGGTTGTTTTCAGTTTTGACTCTAACTCCTGAAGAGGGCCAGGTGGTGGAATAATTTGGTCGACATGGGTCTTCGACACGTGTGAAATGGAGTGGCCGGTGGTAGTCGATGGCACGCGGCGGCCGTACATTGGTGGCCGGCAAAGGCAGAGAGAGAGAGAGAGAGAGAGAGAGAGAGAGAGAGAGAGAGAGAGAGAGAGAGAGAGAGAGAGAGAGATTAGGGTTTGGATGGTGGTCTTGGTTCGTGGAATGGGTGGGGTTTTGGGGGTTAGGTGAGCCGCCGCCCCTACCCTACTTGCTTTCCTGTGTGAGATATTTAATAATTTCACATTGGTTTCCTCATTTTTCTTTGCCCTCTTCTCCAAGTTTGGCTCTTTTGGTTATAATGGGCATTGGGTTTCCCAAAAAGAGGAGATGGGAGAAGAAGAAGAAGACAGAAACCAATACAGAAAAAGGGAGGGAAGGAAGGGTTTTTGGATTGGAGGGGGGAAAGGGAAGTTTGGGTTATGGCCAACTTGGGGTTTTTTTTTGAGTGGCTTCAATTATGTTTGTTTGTTAAAAGTTAACATCTTAATCTTGTTAGATGACATGGATAAGAGGAAACAAATTATGGATAAGTATTAATTAGGGATGTTAATTTTGACGTATGTCGCTTTTGTTCCAGTCGCTTTATCTGTTTTAGACGGATACTATCAATTATTTGGTCCGCCTCATTCTCTGTCCGTTTTTATCTGAATTGTTTGTAATTCTATCCAAATTTAAAATGATAGTTGCAAATAGATAGAGACAAATCTAGCAACTTCAAATAATATTTATCGAGAATTTCAAACTTTTTTTTATTAATTACGGAATTTTGAACTTTTAACATTACATCAATCAATGACTAATACATACTTATATATAATGATTTACGTGTGTGCGTGTTTAAATTCAATGGGTGTATGTACGTGCTCACTCTACGGACGCATAAACAATCCTCACTATGCCTAATCCATCCATACATGAAATTTCTACTCCACAACCATGTCTATGCATATTTTCTTATGTAAACTCAATGTTATGGAAGGCCAAAGTCAAAAAACATTTATCATGAAGTTGGAAGAGAAATTAAGTTGTGATGATGTAGTATGAACGGGATCAATTCCTTAGGTTCACACCCATTACAAGATCCCTTTCCTAGGAGCTAGACCTTTTTCTATTTTAGAGATTTGTGGATGAACTTTGTTTGGACAAGTGGGAAAATAAACTAATAGGCTTATTAATTTATGAACAATAATCCAAAAAAGTCGTGGTCCTATTCTAGAGTGTTGAAGTGCCCAAAGCGATTCTCAGCCGCTCGATTGTCAATGTGTCGATTGGACGGTCGAGATGGTTTTTGGGTTTGGTTTTCTTCTTTTGTTATTATGTCAAGAGTCTAAATCAGTGTTCCGTGAAATAGTTATGAGAACGCAAATTTGGAGACATATTTAGACGAATTCATTTGGGGGCCTACATATGTGTGTGACTGAAGAAAACAATCAAACAATGGCCCCCCTAATTCATCCGCAAATGTGGATATTGCGGACAGTGGCGGACCCAGAATTGCCGGAGAGGTGTGTCGCCGATAAAATAATATAATAATTAAAAAATTTATAGAAATTAAATAGAAATTACTAGAAATTAATTCATAAAGTTCATGTTTACTAGAAATATCTATAAATACATTCATTGCTTATGTTGCGAAGCAAATCCTTTTCGATATACACAACTAAACAATGATTTATAAATTGGTCACTCAACCGATTTCAAAGTTCATTCCTTATTATCTTCACAGCTGAAATCTTTCGCAACTTTCAATTGCAACATGTAAAGTCAACACCAACTTCCAAAAACAAGTAAAACTAAATGGTAAAAGAAAAGGGAGAAGTGGTAGGGGCTCTCAGTAATTAGAAACTAAAATGGGGTAAGGGTGAGCTTTTTATTTCATAAAGGATGGGTCAAGGGGTGGAAACAGTGAGTTTCAAAGGATGGGGTTATGTTTATTTTTTCCATTATTGGGTTGTGGTAGGGATGACAACCAAACCCATGGTTGCGGGTACCCGACCTCCTCCGACCCAGTCAACGCGGGAATCCTTGCGTTGACTGGGTATGGGGCGGGTATGGATAAAACCCTCAAAAAGGTTGATGGGTATGGGGCGGGTATGGTTTTTGACTCTCCCGCCCCATACCCATACCCAAACCCGCCCACCAAGGATATTATGTTATATACATAAAATATAAGGAGTGTATTGTAACTTGTCAATCGAATGAAGGGTAATTAAAAGAAAAAATAAAGTGTTAAAATGTAATTGATGACAACCAAACCGTAATTTCATCCTCTTATGTATTAGTTCCATAATTTTGGGTGGGTAGTATCCATATTTGTCACCATATTCTTTTATTAATGGTGAGTAATTGTTGGGGCGATATTATCCATGGGTATCCGAAAACCGCGGGTATGGGGATGAGTTTGTAAGACCTTCCACTGCATGGGTATGAGACACATATGAGTTTGAATATTTGGAATTGGGGATGAGGTTGGTTTAGGCAAACCCGCCATATTGTCATCCCTAAGTTGTGGTGTGGGTTACTCTAAAACAAGCATAAATAACTTTGAAACTTATTTGAATTTACATATTATTGTGTATTACTAATTAAGATAAATAACTTTATAACAAGAAAATCATTCTCGTATAATGAAGGTGTGTCGCTTATAATTATTTAAGGTGTGTCGGAAGTTCCGAATTAAAAAAAAATGTACCAAAAATATATAGGTAATTCACAAAATTTCCGGGTGAGGGTGTGTCGGACGACACACCCTGCCCTTTACTAGGTCCGCCACTGATTGCGGATCATAATAACTGGATTAGGTCAAACAATACTAGTCTTGATGTTGCTTAGGGATGGGAACCCAATCCGGTCCAACCCGGTCAATACCGGGAGAACAGGTGTTTGGTAATTACACGATTCGAATCGTATTTGTATTCGCCTAAGAATATGATAATGTAATTTAGGTATGAGTAAATTCTTCCCAATACTGTCGAGTATATGAGTGGATAATATGAGAGAGTATAAATACGGCCAGTAGAATACAGGATCGGGGCCATCTGTCCGAGCTCAACTCATTGCCTCGCCTATGGTTGCTCCCAAGTGGCATTTCGACCCCTCGCATCACTGACGAAACTATAGCACACCCCTAGGTCTCAACTTTCAAACTATGACTAATAAATACATGTAAACATAAAAGGCATAACATTTTCCAAAATAGAATTACAATTTATATATAAGACTTTATTGACTACTTTATGGAGTCATCATATCTCCTGAACTTCTATTCTTTGAACAACCTCATTATCGAGTTTCTGATTTCGCCACTACTCACTTTGCCTATCATAAACCAAAGACTGAGTTTTTGTACGATCTCGAGTCTCCGTGAGTTTTGAAGGTTCTGCTCGATTGGGGTGAGTATTTTTGTATCGTAATAGACCGGTGGATGGCAATAACTGCCCCACTTCTTATGTTGGGTTGGGAGGAAAGAAATAGTAGATGTCAACTACTGCAAAAGGTAGTTGGGTAGGGTTTCTGGAACTGTGGAAGTGGGGTGGGCGAGCAACTTAACTGATTGAAGAAAATGGAACCCTGATTCGGACAACAACATTGTTGCCAAAGTTTTTCGCAAAATGACAACCATCCACAACATCAATTATGGTTATTACGTGCAAGCAGCCGTCATTAAGAAACTAATAACGTAGTTTGATCTTACCTAACTATTCACGTATTATATTATTAAGTGTAGGGATTAGAGTGAATTATTGTTCTGGATTGGATATACAGCTATATATATGATAATGATGTTGGGAGGACCACATTAAATTTCTCATTTAATTAACAAAAATAGACGTTTAGTGCTTAACTAATATATCTATAATTGTGAGTGTGTGTGATTGATTTTAACGGAGTTCGAATAATCCTTTCATTTTTTTCCTTCAGGTAGATTTCTTTTGCACGTTTTGCATGCATGTCTAGTTGAGCTGATTGAGAAAAATGGCAGGACTAAATTATTATTACATAGATAGCTCTTGGGTAGGGTTGAAAGTTTGGGATTAGTATTTGGAATAGAATGACCTACTGGATTTATTACTATTTGATATTATCGAATACTGATTTTTTTTTATAAATTGAGATTCATTTTGGGATTTAATTTGGTATTTGGAACTACAAAATTGAGATGCCAAAATTTTAGAATTATATAAATATAGCAAACAACATCTTGTCATTAGCTACTCTTACACAACTCACAAGCCCCCATCCAATCTAAACTTAGCTTTCAAGTTTTCCTAAATCACTCCCATCTCTCACTCAATCTCTTATTATTTCAAGAATGCCAAGAGGACACTCTCATTGGTCGTTTTCAGCCTCCAATCCATTGAATCAAATATTAGTAATGGCAAGAAATTGTAATAACACCATCTGATCATATATTCTCCTTGTCCTAGTCTTAGTGTTAGGCAAACTCAAGATCATTTACTTAGTCTCGTTCCCCCAAACGAGAACATGTGATGAGCCCGTTCGATAGGGAGTTTGATTGAATCTATTCAATGCATATTTTGATGAGTTTTTGTGAGATTTTTCCTCACCTCAACTTCTCATCACCAAGGTTTTCAATCATGGAATGAAACCTATAAGCCTTTACCATATAAAAATGTTATGGATTAGAGGTGCTCAAACCGTTAGTTATTATGTATAAATTTAATTATTAATTGCGAGTGTAACTAATTTAGTATATGGAAATATCGATATTGTGCCGAAATATTTTAGGATTGAGATATAAATTTATTTTGGGATCAAAATAAGGATTGATTTTAAGATACTATTCGATATTTGATATTGGAATATGATACCGTACCTATTTCGATCATAGTTTGGAACTTAAAAATTAGAAGTTAGAAAATAGTTTGTGGGGCGTAGTAACAAAAAGTGAAGGCAGATCGACTGGGCTTTGTAGCTTTTCGGCCCGTCTGCTTTCTTATGGGATGCAATATATATTACCACTGAATGTCCAATAGCGCGATGGGTAGTCCATGAACTTTGGACATGAGAACGTAGAGAACAAAGACTTATTTGGTGGCTCCATTGGCGTAGCCAGATTTTCGATAGATTGGGGTCCTAAATCTTTGTAATAGCTTTGTTTAATGTGCAAAGCTCTGCAATAAACCTACAGTGGGGTCCTAAAACATTTTTTTGTTATCATACAAAGGGGTCCTTGACCTTAAAATATCATTTTGATAGCCATTTTCCTACCAATTTTTCACTCCTTTTCTTATCAAGTGGGGTCCTGGGACCACAGTGCTCAAGCCTTCCCTCCGCCACTGGGTGGCTCATGTTGGGGATGTCCAATAGCGTGATGGGTAGTCCATGAACTTTGGTCATGAGAACGTAGAGAACAAAGACTTATATGGTGGCTCATGTTAGAGATTTTTCAGAAATAGCACGTTAAAATTTTTTACAAAAATAGCACCCAGTCCATAGAAATTACAAAAATAGCACCCTTTTTTAAAAACCGCATCTTAGAGGTGCGGTTTGATTGTGAACCGCACCTGCACTCCAACGGGAATTGGACGGAACTTGTCCAGAATTCCTCTCGCTCGCATAAGCTCGACGCGATTTTTTGGCGAGAAGGGCGAAGGGAGATCTTTCGACTTTTTCCCATTGTTTTAGAGCTTAAAAACTTTACCGGGTTGCTTACCAATACCACTACTTGAAACTGGATAACTGGCAATGGAAACAGATTGCTCCGAACAGGCCTACAATGAGCACTAGCTCACACTCACCTTAACCCTGTCATCTGGGGGGTGCGGTTTGTATGTAAACCGCACCCCCAGGTGAGGTTTAGCATTGTGGGCCAAAACCGCATCTTGGTCATGCGGTTTGTGTGTCTGACCTAACCAAACCGCATGGCTTAGATGCGGTCTTGTGCTGACCTAGCAAAACCGCACTTTGGGGATGCGGTTTTGCTTCTCCAAAACAAACTGCACCCTCAAAGAGCGGTTTTGGCAACACAAACCGCACCCCTCCCCCAATGCGGTTTGTGTGTCAATTATTTTCCAACACCAAACATGTTAAAGACAGAACAACAACAAGGAACAAGGTTATCGAATCTGGAGCTGAGTCGCAGACTAGGTCGCTTTCTTTAAGACGTTCGCGGCACTGCCCTCGATGCACACGGCAAACTATTAGCCGGTTGTCTCTAGGATAAAACAGCTCCTCTCTATGCTCAGCGATTTTGTGTGAAAAAGAAGCTCTATGAGTCTCACTCTCTTCGTGTTTTTGCTCTCTCTACTTTTTTAGGGTTAGGCAACTCATCTATTTATACAGGATGAGACCTTCAGCCTTCCCCTTTTGGTGGAGGATTTGAGAATCTTCTTAAGGAAGGAAATCAAGAGTAATAACTCCTTATTAGACCTTTCTTTAATGCAAACAATTAACCCGATTGATAAAAGTTTCCTTTAATACCAGAAATCAATCCGATTGATTGAAACTTTCCGTTAGTAAGGGCAATTGATCTGATCATGAAAGATTCCTTCAATATGAAAATTAATCCAATTGATTGAACTTTCCGTTAATTCGGTCAATTAATTCTGATTGAAGAAACGTTTCCTTCAATACGGAGAATTAATCCGAATTAACTCCACTTACCTTTTTCAAGGACTTTCCTTTAGTTTTTTTTTTCAAACTATTCACATTTCTCAACAATCCCCCACTTGAATAGTTTTGAAACTATCTCTGAGCATTAACAGTTCCATAAGATCAGGCATAAGCTAAGGTATCGCAAAGATTTGAACCTTAGCGTAGTGGTTACACTTCCGATTTCATAAGGGTGACTCGTAGTCTTGAACCCTATCTCAGACAGTGTAGCACACCATATCTTTTCATTGAGTTGTGTTCTCTTCTTAGCCCGTGTGTTTATGGCCATGCACGTTATCCTGGTTTAGTGAACACTCTAGCAACTTTGTGCCTCCAAAGTTCCATAGGGAGCGGCCCCACACATTCACATAGGTGAGTCTATCAGGAGTACCCCCAAAGTAAAGTACTCCACCCCACATAGGGTATAAATCTCATTAAGAGTTATTAACTCAACCTCCATTGCTTTGGGATTCATGCTTCACTATGCATGAACTTTTCGCATACTACTCATGACTTGTTATTACCAATTGAACCCATTTCTTGGGATCTCCAGTCTATTGGGTCGGGTTACCATCACTTGTAGTCCGTGGTTTGGTAGGCATAAGTCCCATACCCTTGGCGGTATTCTGGACTTTCTCTCTAGGTAATCCTTTCGTCAAAGGATCAGCTAGATTCTGTTCGGATCTTATATGATCCACCCTCACTGCTCCTATCGTTAGGAGTTCTCTTACAGTACTGTGTTTACGACGAATCTGTCATTTCTTTTCGTTATAGAACCGGTTCTCAACTTTAGCGATAGCTGCGGTACTATCACAATGGATCAATACCGGAGGGACCGGCCTTTCCCATAAGGGGATCTCTGACAACAATCCTCTCAGCCAACTTGCTTCTTCACTAGCCATTGCTAGTTCTATCATCTCTGATTCCATAGTTGATTGAGCTAGGATTGTTTGTTTCTTTGACTTCCAAGACACAGCTCCACGAGCGATGTTAAAAACATACCCGCTGGTTGCCTTGGAGTCATCTGATAGGGTATTCCAATCCGCATCACTATACCCTTCTAGTACAGCAGGAAACCTTTGATAGTGTATACCAAGGTTTGCTGTTCTCTTGAGGTATCTCATGACCCTCTCTATAGCATTCCAATGCTCTCTACTCGGACAGCTGTTAAACCTGCCAAGCAATCCCATGACATATGCAATGTCTGGTCGAGTGTAATCCGCAGCATAACGGAGACTGCCAATGATGCTAGCATATTCTGATTGTCTTACACTGTCTCCAGTGTTCTTAAATAGTTTTACACTAGCATCATACGGAGTACACACATGTTTACAGTCGAAATATATATATTTCTTCAAGATCTTTTCTACGTAGCTAGATTGATCTAGAGAATAACCATTTGGTGTTCTGGTTATTTGGATTCCAAGCATAAACTTTGCTTCTCCCAGATCTTTCACCTCAAAGCTCTCTTTCAACATGGCTTTCGCTTCATTGACCACGTGAATATTTGTACCAAATATCAACATGTCATCTACATACAAACATATGATAGTGCAAGTGTTATTCTCTGACTTGCAGTAAATACACTTGTCACTTTCATTCACCTTAAAGCCATGTGAGAGAACGAGAGTGTCAAACTTCTCATGTCACTGTTTTGGAGCCTGTTTCAAACCATATAATGATTTGTCTAACTTACAGACTTTCGAGGCGTGTTCGGGGATAACAAACCCTTCTAGTTGTTCCATATAGATTTCTTCATCCAGATCATCGTTCAGAAAAGCATTCTTAACATCCATTTGGTGTAGCACGAGATTGTTCAAGGCAGCAAGAGCAATCATAACACGAATGGATGTTATTCTTGATACTGGTGAATAGGTATCGAAGAAATCTATATTCTCTCTCTGCATGTAGCCCTTAACTACTAGGAGAGCTCGGAACCTTTCGATTGCACCATCAAGTTTCCGTTTCGTTTTTAGGACCCATTTATTACCCAAGACTTTGCAGCCAGGAGGTAAGTCTGTTAGATACCAAGTCTTATTAGCTTCTAAGGATTCCATTTCATCTATAATGGCCTCATTCCAAAAATCTGCATCTATGTAAGTTAATGCTTCCTGCAAACTTTTTGGATCTTCGAGGGTGTATACTGTAGTAAAGTCATCACCAAAATCTTTAGAGATTCTAGCTCTTTTACTTCTTCTGAGTTCATCCTCAGATCCAACACCCCCACTAGTTCTGTTATCTCTAATAGCAGGTAGGACGTTACCCCCACTATTTCTCGTTTTAAATGGAAATCGAGTCTCAAAGAAATCGGCATCAATGGATTCTACTATAGTACGAGCATTCAAATCATAGAATCTATATGCCTTACTATTGGCCGCATAGCCAACAAAGACACATTCATATGCTCGACTAGCCAACTTAATCCTCTTAGGATCCAGAATTCTTACGTAGGCCAAACAACCCCACGTTCTTAAGTAGGACAGATTAGGTGGCTTATTCTTCAAGATCTCATAGGGTGATTCTTTTCTATTTGTCTTTGGAAGACGATTTAGCATATAGCAAACCGTCAACAAAATATCACCCCACCAAGAAGAAGCAGCTCCATAATTGAGCATAATAGCCGCAACTAATTCTGTAAACGTCCTATTTTTCCGCTCAGCTTTACCATTCATTTCTGGTGAATATGGTGTCGTGGTTTCAATGATACCATGTGAGCTATAGAATTCCTTGAAGGGATTAGAGTCATATTCTGATCCTCTATCACTCCTAAGTCTTTTTATCTTTCGATTGCACTGATTTTCGAATTAAATCACAAATACCTTAAACATATCAAGGGCATCGCTTTTGTTTTTCATCAAACAAACAAAGTAATAATCAGAGCAATCATCTATGAAAGTGATAAAATGTCTCTTGCCAGACGTAGTTAACGTCCCATCTAATTCACAAATATCAGAATGAATTAGATCTAAGGGTTCTGATTCTCTACTCACATATTTATGGAGCGTTTTCGTTATCTTAGCTTGGCTACAGAAATCACATTTATTCATTCATTGAGAGTTTAGGGATATGTCCTAGCTTGCTTAAATTCTTCACAATTCGTGTGTTCACATGACAAAGACGAGCATGCCAAACATTTAAATCACACACCATGTAAACTGAAGAGTTCATCTTATTAATTCGACATTCAACTTGAACATCCCATTACATGCATATGCCTTTCCCACAAAACTCCCATTCTTAGTAAGGGTATACAAGTCTGCCCCAATATTCATTAAACCCAGCCTTATTAAGAAGATATCCCGAAACAAGATTCTTCCTTATCTCTGGAGTGTGCAACACATCCTTGAGCACCATCTTCTTCCCAGAGGTGAAGTTTAGCTCCACTTCACCAGAACCAGCAACCATAGTGGTGTGAGTAGTCCCCAGCAACACTTTCTTGTCAGCAGGTGCTTCTGTGTATGTTTTAAACATAGCACGATTGTTGCATACATGCTTCGATGCACCTGTATCCAGCCTCCATCCTTCTGAGTCACCAGTGAGGTTGACTTCAGCGATCATATCCGTGATCATGGCTACCAAATCCTCTTCTGTCAAGTTAATCCTGGCCGCAACAGGGTTATGCTTGTTCCTGCACTTTTTTGCCATATGACCCGGTTTACCGCAGTTATAGAAGATAAACGGTGGGTCATTCTTAGAGGTTTGGGCCATGACCCTTTGGTTACCTCGAGAGGCACCATTCTGATGGGAGAGGACCTGTTGGTTCTTACTCTTAAACCTTTTTTGGTTAGGTTTAAGAGCTCTATGGGTGGGTCGTTTAGCAGTGACGACCATCACCTCTTCTTTCATATCCTGCTTGCGGGACTCTTCCTCAATCCTTAGGCGAGTAATCAAGCTTTCCAGCGAAAATTCTTTGGTTTTATGTCTAAGCATATTCTTAAAATCTTTCCACGAAGGGGGCATCTTATCAGTAATGCAAGCAACTTGAAATTGATCGTCCAGAGGCATTACCTTCAGATAGGGGTGAACAAACACACCCGCAAACCGACCCACCCGTCCAACCCAACCCACCCGTATTTATGCTAAATCGAAGGTTTTGGGTTGGGTGAGGGTTTTCTTTTATACAACCCGCCTCTTTTGGGTTGGGTTTGGATTTTGGATTACACAACCCGTAGAACCCGACCCAACCCGTGTTCCAATTATTGGTATGAGTTCGTATCCAAAAAATATTTATGTCGTATATAGTCATACTTATGAGAAAATTAAGATATTTCGCCATGTTTTTCTCTTAAAGCCTCAATCTAATGCATTCTTCGACTTAAAGTTTAGACATATATTTAATATAGCTATGATTCACGTAATTTTTTTTTCTTGTGTACAATTTTAAAAGAATATCATATTATGGATGAGTTCATTTGTATCCTTTTTAGCCTATTTCAACAAACGTCGTGAAAAAAAACTAGACATAAGTTGAAGTAAATCAAGTTTTATTAAAATTCAAACAATATTTGTGAATTTTGATACCTTTCACCTCGGTTTATTCGTTTGAATTTTTAATTTGTTATAAAATATTTTTATGATGTAGAATAATTACATATTTTGTGCTGGGTTGGGTTTTTACTTAAAAATATCGCCAACCCGACCCAACCCAATTAGAAACAATCCGTAGGGTTTAGATTTTTTTAGGTGGGTTTGGGTTTAATATTTCCCAAACCGTAGTGCATGGGTCGGGTGATTAAAATATCTAAACCCGGACCACCCGACCCATGTACACCCCTACCTTCAGAGACGATCTCATGAGCTATTTTCGGAAGTTCGTGGGACTGAACTTCGACGGACTTGTCATCCACCATCTGGTAGCGCAGGTAGCGGCTAACAACATACTTCTTAGCTCCAGCCTCCTCCGTGTCGTATTTCTTTTGGAGCGCATCCTAGATCATCATGAGGTGTTCTTGTTGTCCGCATAGTAGTCGTAGAGATCGTCTGCCAGGCCGTTGAGGATGTAGTTCTTGCACAGGAAGTCATGCTCCCTTTCCTTGGCAGAAGCAGCCCTCTCCTCATCGGTCGCTTCTTCCGGCAGCTCGACGGGCATGCTGGTGAGGCAGTGTGCCAACTTCTTGGTCGTCAGGTAGAACTCCATCTTTTGTCTCCAGCGATGGAAGTTGACTCCAACGAAGCTAAAGGGTCGATTGATATCGACAACAGTAGATCCAGTCATGTTGTTCTGTTCATTCGACATAGCAGCAGCCGAGCGTCTTAAAATTGTTAACAGAACAACAACAAGGAACAAGGTTGCCAAATCTGGAGCTGAGTCGCGGACTAGGTCGCTTTATTTAAGACGTTCGCGACACTGCCATCGATGCACACAACAGATTATCAGCCGGTCGTCTCCAGGATAAAACAACTCCTCTCTATGCTTGGCGATTTTGTGTGAAAACCGGAGCTTTATGAGTCTCACTCTCTTAGTGTTTTTGCTCTCTCTACTTTTTTAGCGTTAGGCAACTCATCTAATTATATAGGATGAGACCTTCAGCCTTCCCCTCTTGGTGGAGGATTTGAGAATCTTCTTAAGGAAGGAAATCAAGAGTAATAACTCCTGATTAGACCTTTCTTAATGCAAACAATTAACCCAATTGATACAAGTTTCCTTTAATACCAGAAATCAATCCGATTGATTGAAACTTTCCGTTAGTATGGGCAATTGATCTGATCATGAAAGATTCCTTCAATATGAAAATTAATCCAATTGATTGAACTTTCCGTTAATTCGGCCAATTAATTCTGATTGAAGAAACGTTTCCTTCAATACGGAGTATTAATCCGAATTAACTTCACTTACCTTTTTCAAGGACTTTCCTTTAGTTTTTTTTTTCAAACTATTCACATTTCTCAACAAAACATATAGCCATGCATATTGACAGACGTGGGGCTGCATGGAAGATGAAAACCGCACCTCTAAGGTGCGGTTTTCATTGACGATTTTGACGATTCAGCCCGGGAAACCTCTTCTCTTCACACCTCTCCTTCTCCCTTTTCAAATTTCTATTGTAGCTCCCTTACTTCTCTAATGTTTTTGCGGTTAACTTTAACTCGTTAATTTATTTTGTATTACTTTTTATTGTGAATTGTGATTAACAACATAGAGAAATTAACAGCAACCGAGAGAAAGTCTGACTTCAAATCACAGCAACCGAGAGAAATTAACACATGTACCCTCAATCCCTCATGACTCATAGAAAATGGAGTAACAACGAGTTCCCTAGAGAATGGTGCGAGGCCGAGTTTGATACTATTTTTTTCCCGTTGAATCAGGTCCTTTTTTATACTATATTGAAGTTCAGTGATCAAATTGATATTTTGACCCGCCAAACGGATGGCCAAAAAATAGAGAGGGAAAGAAATCCAACGCCTCGTTCAATCGTTCATCCAAAAGATGGACCTTATCGTCTCCTGCAGTTGCAGCTCCACTTCCTCATCTCTGTTTCGTGCTAAATCCACGCCTCTCCAATCTTCATTCTTCCCTTCCATCTCCAATCCCTTCGCTACCAGCACCCGGAGGCTGAAATGGGTTCCGCCCAGAACAAAATCGGAGCTCCAGACTCCAGTTGGAGTAAACGGTCGATCCACCAGTGTCACCCCGACGGCGGTTCCCACCCACAAAGTCACCGTTCATGACCGGCAGCGCGGCGTCGTCCACGAGTTCGTCGTCCCAGAGGTACGGCTGTGGGTTCCCCCCCCCCCCCCCCCCCCCCCCCCCCCCCCCCTTCATCTTGCAATTGGGGTCGAAGTTCTACAAAATCCTTTTGCTGTTACCCTTACTTCATGAGATCTGTTGGGATGAACTTTTTGTTTGCAGGATCAGTATATACTGCACACAGCGGAATCGCAGGACATTACGCTTCCGTTTGCATGCAGGCATGGTATTAGTCTGTATATCTGCTGGAATTCTTACCCTTCTGTGAATGCATTGTCAAGTTGAATTTAGGGTAGGATGTCAAAGCAATGAATTTCTGCTCTATGTGGGTTGGAATGTCGCTTCTCGATGGTTGAAAGAGTCCAATTTTGACCTCTGAATTCACTTAGTATCGCATTGAAGACTAATTTAGCAAACCCATCTATTGATCAAAGATGGGTTCTTAGAAATGAGTTTTGGGGGATGTTGTAGTTCTTGCATGTGGGCTCTCCTGTTTGTGCTGTAGATTGGTCTGTTCAGCTATGGAAATGAGAGTTTCGTTTGATGATCAGATTGGCTTTGTTCAACTAATATGATTTATTTTAGACATTATCAGAATTAGGGCAGTTTGAAGGAGTATGTATCCGTTTAGAAAATCTCATATATGGGGTACTCTACTGGAACGAGGACTGAACCTAACAAACCTCTTCTTGCGTTAACTCGCTAGGAGATCTTCTCTTTTCATTGTTTTTCACCTGCGATGATGCAAGTTGCTCTAGGAAAGCCATTTGCTTGATCAACTAATTGACCTCCATCAGGTCCTTTCAAGTTGATCCCCAGTCGACATTTGTGTTTTAAACTTCAGGCGGTTGAGTTGAATCGTTAGAACATAACTTACAGTACAGTTGTGTTTTGTTGTCTTATCTTCTGGCTGCAAGTAGGTTTTACTCTATCGTTTAAGTTGTCGCTCATCAACAGGTTTTCTGGCTGCAGGTTGTTGCACTAGTTGTGCAGTACGTGTAAAATCTGGACAACTCAGACAGCCAGAAGCTCTAGGGATATCTACAGAGCTCAAAGATAAGGCATGGTTGCTCATTTCTTATGGAACCAAAAAGATTTGAACTCCTTGCTCTAGTAGTAACAACTGCTATGCATCTGATGTTTGGATGTGCAGGGATATGCACTGCTTTGTGTCGGGTTCCCGTCTTCAGATCTTGAAGTCGAAACACAAGACGAGGATGAGGTACATTGCCCAATTTTTTCGAGCTTTATATATTCTGCCCGGGTTTCTTCCTATATGGAGTTAGTATTTGCTGTGCTCATAAGGCAATGCCAAACACACCATTCTGCTGTACGCATCAGGTATATTGGCTTCAGTTCGGGAGATATTTTGCTCGAGGGCCTATTGTAAGTCTTTTGTTTCTTCATGCTTTATCCTTTAAGACTCGCAGAGAAGAGGTGAATCGATCGATGTTCAAATCATAATACGATTCAATGACAGGAACGAGATGACTACGCTTTGGAGCTGGCCATGGCTGACGAATAGAAGAGAGATTGTCTGAGTTTAGGTTGCATTGTATAACACAAGTTAAACTCAGAATGTTGATCCTCCACCTGCGGATACTCAGTCAGCTTGGTTTTGACAGGACAAAATGCCTTTTTAGTTAGTGATCAAAGACCAAATCGAGTAAGATCCTGGTTCGGTGCAGACCGAAACTTGTATGTCATTCCTTTCGGCTCGGTTTAATTGGAATTTTCGAGTTTTAGGGGGTTTAGCATGTGATTCTGCTATCATATCAAAATTTCATACTGTGAAACCATATATATCTTGAATGCAACACATTATAAGCTGCTAGTCCTTTCAATCAACTAGTGCTACTCCCTGCCTGCCTTCCTCCACAGCAGACTTGCGTCAACAGCTTGCATGGACAGCTACCACCTCTTCTCTCGACTTTCCTTCGCTTCGGGTATACCAAGAAAGTCTACTCTGTCATTCAATCGTGACAGCGTGCCTTTCCGAACCAAGAATATGAAATGACACCAAATAATATACGGCTCGAAACCTCGAATCAACATCAAAACCACAACTTGATTCAATGTAACTTGGCTTCCTAGATGACCGCAACATGTCTGATGTTCTCACCACATCAGCTGCCTGTTTAGATCCCCTTGTCTCCACCACCATAGCCAGATACGTCTCGCCCACATCACTCTGACGTTGCTCTGATATAGGCAACTAACTAGTCATTTCATTATGAAACCATGACAGGTTAACTAACTAAACTAAAGCTTTGCAGAATCCTTCCCTTCCCTCCCTGCCATGAAAATTGGACAAAATTTACTATCAATCATTCTTCAAATATGGCTGGGCAAGAAATCCTTATCCAGTGCAGATTGAGATTTCTGTGGGGGCAGAGGCAGAGGCAGGGGCACATCTTATTCTGGATTTTTCCTTCTTTCCCATTTCTTGTCTTCATTTTGGATTTCATCAGACTGTTTGTTACCCTTTGTTAAAAGGAAAAGGGTACTCACTTGACTCTTGACTACTACTACTACATTTCCAATGGGCAGTAAATTGACCACTCATTAAATTTGCTCCTCACAATGAAACTTTCTTTGTTGCAATGCGGCTGGCTTTGAATAGGATGCATTCAAGATAGCTCTAAATCTCTTCTGGTTATGTAATTATCTTTTATTAGACTTCCTTGTTAGTTCGAAGATTTAAGATCTTGTCTTCTTAAAAAATGAACAAGTGTCGTATAAACTTATAAATATTCGTATGGGATGATAGAAAATTTTAACGTATTCTTATAAGTAGAGCAGTGGTGGAGCTACGTGTAGTTCAGGAGAGGCTACAATCATCCCTTAATTTTCTATTTAACGTTACACTACTATGAGGTTATTAACCCCATCCAAAATTTATGTTCAGTCAAGAGAATCTGTTGCAGCTTGTTATTTTCAGCCCCACCTCGTTTTAAGTTCGAGATTCGGCGCACGAAACAAGAGGATGTACATATTGAGATAGTAGAAGATCACGTATCCCTTCCCTCCAACTTGACTTGCTATGTTTGGGAAATAGGAAGCACTAAATTGAGTGGGAGGTGGGAATAGTAAATTTTCATTGTGTACTCTATTTCCTCCTCCTTTATACTAATCGAACAAATGCAAATGCCTTAGAAATTGCATTTTGCTCCCAATCTTTCCACCTCTCTCATCAACCCTCAAACCAAACATGGGGAGTTATCATCTATCAATGAGTAGTGAGACCCCTACTCAAAGAGACACTCGTTGTCCTATCAACAAGCATACGTCTTTTTGTTGCTTTACTTTAGAGGATGGCAAGGCGTCGTGTAGTCTCATGTTACAATTTTCGAGACACGTCAATCTTTATTTGTCTATTGTAATCTTCTATTTTTTTTTACTTTTTCAGGTTCCACATAAATCAATTAACATCTGATACATCCTATTATTTTGACGAATCGAATTTTGACTTTATATAATTGAAATGGCCTTGAGTTTTCCTATTGAGTGGAGAAACTCGCGTTAGAAGCATCGAGCTAGCAAGTGATGACATAGAACAATACTGCCAATTGAGAAGGGCAGCTTGGATGCGGCAACATGGACAAGATAATACATACATACAACACTAGAAGCAGAAAAGTGAGGATTTCCATCAGACTTTTGGCAGGCACAAACCATTCACTCACTCACTCAGCTTTCTTACTTGTGAATGATACATTACAATTTATAAGGTCTCCATCCATATGGCCCCCATTTGGACTCTGATAAGTGTGAGAGAGAGCCCTTTAGGAACCATGACAAAACAGTGTAGTACATGAAGACAGTTCCAAATTGGGGACAACCTTTCTTGCTTTCAGTCCTGGCTGAGAAAGAGACCACCACAGAACAAAGTTCCTTCCTTTGGATTTCAATAATGGCAAAGGGAATCAGCTTCTCTTTTGGATGAGCACCAGAAAGAAGAATATACCATTCCCCCACTCCAACTTAGTGCTTCCTTTTGATACCATGTTGCTGCATAGTCTTTGTCTGTGAGAAATTACATCATCTAAATCAGTTAACTTTCTGCCATGCTCGGTAAGTATGCTTTTGATGATTTACATGTATAGTGTTGATCCGTCGTTTACCAATTTGATTCGATCATATTGATTAATCTCGTCCATTCTATGTCTCGAGTACAAGGAGATGTAAGATTTACAGATCGAAACCATGGGAGAAAATTGAATTTTCAGACATGTCTAGTGACAGGTGAATCCTCCATCACAAGGTAGTTATTGAGCATGACATCAATTCTACATACAACTGATTGACCAGACTTCAGAAACTGAGGCACTCAAAAGGTGACATACAAGACTAGATAAACCACCATTAACCTAAAACTTGACAGAGGAAAACTATGATAATGACATAGATTAAGATTCTTTCAGGATTTTGAAAGTGATCTCCCTGACACAAAAATTCCTATGGTTTTCATCACAAAAGCTCTCTTCTTTTGCTTTCAACCACAAAGACCCTTTTTTTCTCAGAACTTTTGTCTTTCTGTTCCCAAATATCTGTCTTGGGCCACCAGTAGTACTATATGTTTCTATGTAACTTCCAAGCCATTGAACAGTCAGGTCTTTCCAGAACAGAAACCTCCTCCTTATCTCAACATTATAAACTTTCTGATAGCAGTTATAACATACAGTTCAATAGTGAAGACAACTTCACACCAAAACTGGTTTATTTAAAAGGAAGTAACAAAGGGGTGGAAATCAACTCTATACATTGTGACTTGGAGTTGAAGTTCTCTTTGCTCCGCGCCACTGGCTTTTTTATTCAATTGCTGTCGACGAGTACTTAGAAAAAAGTCTCAAGAGAGACCACAAGATCAAGCAGTGCTGAATTTCTGCTCAGTGGTGCTTACTGAGGCCTGCAACCATTTGGCAAGATGGTCATCACATTTTGTGTAAGGAAGGCAATACAGACTTGGTACAAAAGGAAGGGAAATGGCACAATTGAGGGATTTTCCTTCTCTAGGCTTGAACATCAGTCACATTTGGCTACTAGCTATGGAACTAAATTATGATGAATATCCATGGATCTGGAGACACTTACTCCAACTGATGTAACGAAGTTGCAGACTGCGCATTTGACAGATCGAGCTCCATACTGGTACATCAGCAGCATCCTGCAGTTCCCACAGTTCACATGTGCCACTTGATTTGCTGTTACAAACACAAAATTGCCCACAAAGGAACCAAACTATCACTCGAAGTATTTCCTCCAAAATTGCAGTCCAACCGCAAAAGGTTAGAACTTTATGACTAAAAAGTAAAAACCCCACATTTGGAACTTGGAAGGGACAATGATAGTACTGCTGAAATGCACATTAGGTCAAAATTTGGGGGGATTTTGGATCATTCATTTGAGGCGTTTCTCTAGGCTTGACCATCCATCATCTTTTCATGCATAGCATAACATAATACCCTCCACAATTTGGCTAGCTAGGAAGAACACCACTTAAATTCTCAAAAAAATGCATGCCTCAAATGGGGTAAAGGCTGAAACTTTATACCAAGAAGCCCCACATTTCAGCATTCCTGAGATGCCCTTTTGGCATTTTAGTGATTCAAGCTTATTTTCTTACCTTCCAGGGCTAAATTGACAGTGTGGCAGCATGAGCATTGGACACTTGTCGCACCACGAATGTACATGAGCAAAGTGTGGCAGCCTCCACATACCAGCTGAGCCATCTCTGTGCCTGTATCAATTAAGTAAAAAAAGGTAAACAAGAGTGACCTTTCAAGCTATAGGTAATCAAATATGGTAAAAAGTTTGAGGTGTTCTTTTCTGTCTCCATACCAGGAGGAGGAACTCCAGTGACTGCATTGCAGACAGCACAGCAAACTGAGGTTGCCCCAACTGGGAAAAGCAGCAGATTTCTACATCCAGAGCACACTAGCTGGCTTTGTCCACCTTAAAAGCACCCCCAGAAAACAAACACTTAAAATTAAAACGATTCCAAAAGGGATAAGAAGAATCTGGATGAAATCTTGTCTAGATGGAGATGGTAAGATTAGTATTAATTACCATTAGCAGCAGCAGCAGCAGCTGGAGGAGGAGCTGGTGGGGGATTGTATGGAGCAACTGGTGGAGTTGGATAAGGTGCAAGAGGAACTGGCATTCTTGATACTATTATATATTGTCTAATTAGTATTTAAATACCTTAAACAAAACCAAAGGTCTCCCCTTTTTCCCTTTTCACAAGCTCAAAGCTTCAAAACCAAAATCCATAGCAGCAGCAGTTATAATAGTCTTCCTGGCATGCCTGCAAAAACACCAAACCCAGAAGAGAAAAATGTGACATTGCAAGAAATTTTGGAAAGAGGGGACCATTCGATGAAAAGGGTAGATGAAAGTTTGGAGCTTTGAGAAAGACCTCAATACCAGGCCAATGTTGAGAGGAGGGAGCTTTGTGAAGAAGGAAAGAAGGAAGTTTCTCTCTTTTTTGGCAGCTAAGCTGAAGCCATTTGTCTGTGGGAGAAGGAATAATAAGGTGTGGTGGGGTGAAGGCTAACTAAGGCATTACCTATTTTTACAGCTTGCAAAATGGAATGGCATGCAGAGACAGAACAAGAAAGAGAAATGAGGTTGTGTTTTGTTTTGATGGCAAGGGTTTCAAGATTGGAAGATTGTATCCGAGATTGTATCCGAAAAGTTAGTAGTAAAGCATTTTATATTGAAATCGTGGTTTAATTGTAGTCTTATTGTTTCGTACTGTTATAATCACCAGCCGGTTTAGATTTCAGTAGAAGGTTTTCTCGATCGAACTACTGATACGAAAAGGTTTTACAAACATTAGTTTAATTTAAGGTCTTTTTGTAAAATTAGTGAAGGGGAGATAGAGAGTAAGGGGAGTTTGGATTGTGGATTCTATGGATTGTGTTCATAATTCACGAGCTATTGGTGATTTGATGCAGAATCTATTGTTTCGCCAAAATTCTTTGGTGATGACGAATTTCTAAATACAAGAGTTTGTGGAGTTCAAAAAATTTAAATGATGTGTTTTTTTTTTTTTTTTTTTTTGCCTGGAATGCTTCTTAGTTTGATGTTTACTCATGGATAGAAGTAGAACTACACCTAACCATGTGCATTACATAAGTAGCCTTATTGTTGACTTGCCAACAAAGTTACTTGTTTCATAGTTAACAATATGGAGTTTGCCACCAAATATTCTTGTTGTTGATGAATCAAGAAACGTTGTTATGACTTCACCAACTGATCAATCCACAAATGAGAATGAATACAAGATTAAAAAAAAAACTGATGAATAATTATTTACAGTAATTATGAACATACAATCCAATTTTAAATATTTTATATGGAAAGTTCCTCTTGTCCATTTTTTCTCTTCATGCATAACCTCATGTTTCAAGTTGTGTATTCAGCACAAATCTACCAACAACTCATAATAGTTTCACCTGTCATAAACCAGTTGGTCCCAATAACTCGAGTTGTTGGGAGAAAGTTATGTTGAATCTTATACAGGCCCATTTATGGTACTTAACTACTTCCTTACACGCCCCCTCAAACGAAAGCCGACTCATGGGCTTGAAGTTTGCACAGGCCCGCCATACCATGTGCTTGAAGACAACGGTTAATATTGGGGGTCGTGAGGACTTGAACACGTGACCTCAATGACAAACCAGCTCTAATACCATGAAGAATTTGATGACGCGGAATTGAAACGAACACAGGACACAACGATTTGTACGTGGTATCCCTGTTCGACGTGAACATGACTAATCCACGGTGAGCTCGGAAGAGCTCACGACTGACGTTTTATTATGTGAGGACTACATTGTGACGGCTTGCTTTCTACAGGACCGCAGCTAAGCTTATATAGAGATAAGGAATTAATTATCACTAGGTTAAAACCCTAATGATAACCAAGTTTCCTTCTTTGACAAGGACAAGAAAACAAGAGACTTGGAGGAAAAGGAATTAATTATTTTTTACTAAATAATTAATATCCTCAACGTCCCCAATCATATTTTCTAAGAATCATTTCGTTCTGAATTGATTCCATTATGGTCAATCTGATCTTCAAAGATTGAAAGATCCAAATTGTCAACAAGATTATAATTAAACTTAAGCTTATCTACCTAATGTAATCTTCCTTTCTTTCCCCAAAAGGTGAACGATTTGAGATTCTTATCTGATCTGCCTCGTGGATTAATAATCCCATCATCGACTTTCTTGTTGAATCCTTGGCTATGTTGAATGAATGGATAGACGTTATAAAGAAGAGGAAAAGAAAGAAGAGTAGAATTGACGACGAGAGAAAGTATTGGAGTGACAGTTAACTTGCATTTCCCCATTGGTGGCGTATCATATCGATATCAAAACACTTCAAAATGATAATTTTGTCAGGTACTCTGTGGGCCTTTTCAGGCCCATACTCCTCTTCCCTTTTTTTTTTTTTTTTTTTTTTTTTTTGCTTTTCTTTTTATCTAGTGTAAAACAGTGCATACACGTCACGGCCAGGATTCGTCCACGTCATTCAATTCCGGTGGCACAAGTTGCATCACTTTGTAGTTTGTAGTCTAGTGCTCTTCTGGGCTGCCGAAAATCACAGTGAGCGTGAGGATCGGAACTCGCACGACGCCGATGCAAGTGGACGCCGATTCTTGACTTCTCGATTACTTTAGCAGTATTTGGCGACTCATTATTTGTGGGCATTGGAGGCTCGGGTGAGTTTTAGCCCCAAACTCGCCGACCCACTAACTCGTTATTTCCTCACATTTTTCTTTGATTTAGATTAAGGGATGGTAGAGGGATGTGATTGGGTTGTGTATTCTATGAATAATTAAGGTTCAATACACTTGTATATCTAAAACTTTTATGGTTGTGCTAATAATATCCAAATTTCCCGAAATACCACTTATACCCATGTTTTAAAGTTGTTCTTTGCCAAACCTATCCATTTCCGTTAAATACTTTGACGGCGATAATAACTCCGTCAACATAGCTGACGACAAGCTGATTGGGCGCCAACTAAGCAGACACGTAAGCGCCAACTATGCCAAAGGTGACACGTAAGAAATTTAAAATAATTTATAAATAATTTAAAATAATTTCCCCAATTTTTTGAAATTAGGGTTCTTCCCCAAAACGCCGATCGAGTAACACGCTGGGCAATCACAGCACCCAGCCTTCATCAAATGCACGCTCAGATCACGAACGGATTAGGCATCTTCAATCCATTACCGTCACGCTCAAATCCAGCTCCGCTGCCGCACTTCCATTCTCACCGCCGGCGTTGGCCAGGAGCTTGAAGTTGCATACCGACCCCGCTCCGCCGACTCTGTACCAATCGCGTCCGGGAACTGAGGTTCCGGCAGGTGAGCGGCTGGGGTGCGAAGCTTAGTGACACCATGAATGGTTGGTTTGGATGGTCAAGAGCTAGCTTCCAATGAAGATGAGCTCAGACAAAAGAGAGTAATGGAGGAGAATCGCCAGCACACAAAGCTCATTCTCCGCATCAATCGTCACTCAATCCCACCTTAAATCGCGCACAATCCCTAAAACATCTTACTTTTCTTCTCACAAGTCTAGTTTTGAGGTGAGATTGAGAGCCGAGAGAGACAGCGTCGACGAGATTGAAGATGCAGGTCTAGGCTTTTGGAGGTCTCCGTCGCTCTGGGAGTAATAGAGTCTCCCCAAAGCTCCTGCAATGTCGTCAGGAAAGGGTAGTGGCTTACTGGCTTCATCATATCGTCGCGACAATACTAATTAACCCACAACCGCCACGACTGCGGCTCCTCCTCCGTCACTGAGAATGTCGTCTTTCACAGTGATTTCCAGATCTAGGAATTACCCACCAACACCCACATCAAGGCCAACATAGAGGCTTCAGCTCCTTCTTGAATCAAATCGACACAATACCCACTCCCATCCCCATTTGTTCAACGAAGGAGAAGAAGATAGCTAGTGCTTAGTGGTGCTCGATTTCAGAACAGGGAAAAGAACACCCTTTGTCGAGTCCCTACTAGTGGTTTCTCGAGTCCTTGCTGCAGTGGAAGAACAAGGATAGGCCGGCATCGCACTCGAAATCGCAAAGCCTCCCTCATCTGGGCGAAGGAATGGTGGAGTTTTGGATTCGACGAGGCGGAGAAGCGGCGGCGACGGCTGGTGGAGCTGAGTAATCACAGAGGGAAGGAGGGAGTGCGTTTGGTGGGGACCTTTCATCTCCTTTTTATTTTTTATTTTACTTTTATTTTTTAAACTTAATCCAGCGTGGAATTGTTGCCGGAGAAACTCGCCAACTCAGCATTTCCGTTTGTCTAGTCAGCTTATTAGCTAACACCGTTAAAGAATTCGACGGAAGTGGCTATAAGTGGTATTTCATCAAATTTGGATATTATTTGCACAACCATGAAAATTTTGGACATACAAGTGTATTTAACCAATAATTAATAATAGACAAGTTAACTAAATTTTACAAGAAAATTCCTTACAAATTGTGAAGGTTTTAGCAATTTACCTTCCACTTTGAGTTTCGTGGATTCGACTAGTATTTGTGAGTTGTGATGTGCAAATTTTTCTATTAGTAACTCGATCATACCAACTCTTCGTTTGGCCACTTTAAGCGAAGTATTTGTTGACATGGAAAAGAAAGTCATTAACCCTCTGCTTTTTTAAGAAGAGAAAGGGAGGGGAAGGGAAGGGAGGGAGAGAAATTCCAGAACCCAATAACTTTTCCCCCGTTCTCCAAACTTGCTACAGGACTGGAGGGAAGAAAAATGTACTGTTTTACCTGACCCTCCAATTTGGGAGGAAAGCCACCTTCTCAAGCATTTTCCTATTTTTCATTTTTTTTTCTTGCGTTTTGTTTTGCTTTCCACCACGTTGGATGGGTAAGCGATTTATGGAATTTTATTTTATGGTCACATATTATAAGATTATTTTCTCGTGCGTTGCCTATTTTCCTTTTTCGTTTAAGTTGTGTTTGTGTAGGGATGTGTGATAGCAGTGAAATAAATGACAAAAATTGTTAATTTATATTTTATTAGCACATATATTGCATTTAACGTGGAGAAATATTAGGAGATGTGATCATTACTAATTCATTGCTTTTAGGGTTGAAGAGATAATCTTCGACTAATTTTGGAGGACGATAATTAAATTAGTGAAGTTCGTGTGTATTATTTTAGATTGCTTACTTACCTACGTAAACTTCTAACATGATATTATGTACACTACCGACTTAGATGACAGTAGATGATTTTTACGTTCCAACTGACGATACACGAAAGAACAATATTTATGGCTAACTATGATGCTAGACAATTCTACTCTTATTTGTATGATATCTTTGTGTATCATTATATAATGGTGACAAATATTTTTCTCACTGGATCATGGTCAAAACATCTATTTTTGTATTTTAATAATGAACAAAATTAACAAGGAATAATGTATTTGATCCAATTACGTGGAACGTAAATGTGTGTTAAGTTTCAAGTATAACGACATCAGAGTGTTACATTTTTTAAAGAATGGACGTTATCTTGTACAACAAAAGTAATCAAATTTGTATGAAAAATAAAAAAGAGTTAAATGAACAATTTATGTTCCGTTAACAAATAACAAAATTGATCATGGTTATGTAGAAATTGGTTATTCATAATATTTATTTTCGCATTTTTTGCATATACTTACTATTACATAATCAATAAAACAACATATCTATCACACTTCCCTATATACTTTTTTCCTTTCACTATCTCTTTCACTTTCCCCCATAAAACAACATTTTCTCTCCAATTCCCTTCCCCTCCAATTTTCCTTCCCATCCAAGTTTTCCCTCCCTTCCCCTCCTTTTCCTTTCCTACTTCGGAAACAGGGGGTAAGAGCACATCCCTGGAAATTATGGCTCTTCACTTGTGTGGATTTCAATTCTTTGACAACGATATCACATCTTTCGGTGTTCCATCTACCAAATGTATAGAAGTTTTATGATTTTTGCATTTCAATATCTAATTTACATTACATAGTATAATAGTAAAAAAGAACTATGTGAAAAGTGTGGTGTGAGTCATTCGGGTAACCCATAACTCATTTAGCTGTCACCGCACCAGAGTAAATGCTGGTAGGGGATTACAGACCTATGGTCTCGCACATTAATCATCTATCTGTGGTAGTTCAAGTTTTTTTTTTTTATGAATTGTTGAGCGGTTCGAGTTATTTATAAGTGGGTCGATGTCAAATTATAATTCAACCACCCACTTCCTACTCCTTCCTTCCACCCACCCAAGTAAATACGAGAAGGAGATTTACAAATTCCCGATCCACCCACATTAACCACCCGTGATGGTTTGGTTATTCGGAGGTGGTTCGAATGGCGGTTCAACCCACCCCCTACGGCTCATGGTGGTAGCCGGTAGGTCGTCTCTTGGGCCGAGCTACAAACATAGTGAAGGATCCCTCAGCACGATTCAAATATTAACCGTGGGTTACTTAGCGGGCTTTAGACCCATAAACCCGATTCTGGATCGTAGGCCTTGCATTATTTGGAGCGGAAGTTTGAGATCAGTACGCGATAGCCCGCCCAATCCATGAGCCTACGATCGTCCAAACATTAGGCGACCAACAACTTCCGAATATTCAATGACCACGTTTGATTAGGGCTGCAAATGAGCCGAGTCGAGTTTTACCCCAGCTTGAGCTCGGCTCGTTAATAAACGAGTCGAGCTCGAGGTCAGCTCATTTATTAACGAGCCGAGTCGAGTCGAGCTCGAGCTAGCTTGCTTATTAAAATCTTAACTTTTATTTGATACTTCATTTTGTATATCATAATACATATGATTTATTTTGTTAGCTAATCTCATATTATACTTTGTTGGTATCATATATCATTTAGTTAATAAATTTTAACTACTCCAAATCATGTTATTTCATAGTATCGAAGCAATTTATGATGCATAATTTCTTTTTAAAGTAGAAAATAAGATATATTGCTCACAAACTCAACGTGTTAAACTTTATATATGGTGAGATATATAATTTAACAACCATATGAATTAAAATCATAAGATATAGATTGATTCGTCCATAAGTTGGTAATCGAGTTGGCTCTCTAGCCACATGTCAAGACATATCATAAGGTCTAAATGAGTCAGCTCACGAGTTTAGCTCAACAAGCCACCGAGTCGAGCTAGCTCGCGAGCTTCACGAGCTAAACAAAGGTGAGCTCATGTACGACTCGTTTATTAACGAGTCGAGTTTTGAACGAGTTTTTCTCAAGTCGAACGCCGAACCGCTCGCGAACAGCTCGGCGCATTTGCAGCCCCACCTGTGATAATTTGAGAACTTGAAGTCTCCAATCCCCATGCAAATCATCGTTTATTAATATCCTTGTCTATGAAATTCACGCTTTTGTACGTCTTTTTTGTGAAGTAGGTACTAGCTAGATATATAATTCTATTTGTAACCCAAATTCTTTGATTAAACTTTTCTACCAATGTCAATCAATCAACCATATATAATATATACGCGGATACAAAATCTACTTCGTAAAGATTCTTACTCAATCAAATTGTTAGAACTTGGAAATCAGGGGTGTGATTTTGTTCTCTTTTTGGCGAGAACCAACCAGAGCTACTGCTCTTCTCTTTCAATTTAATTCTGCTGCCCATTTATTCATTCCAATCCTCTTAAAATAGAGGAGCAATCCTACAGATCAGGATCACAAGATTGAGACCTTGATCTTCTACGGTTTGGAGAATCACTCAAGTTTATCTCCGTACACCTACGAAATCAAAAGAGCATATGCTAGCAACTACTAAATCAACAACTGAATAACAAATCAAACAAACCTACAACTGGTTTTACTACGCAAGCAGCAGCTCCTACTCAGTTTTGGGCCTTCAGTCTTCTGCCATGAAGAAGCTCGTCTGATCCCACTTGGGCTTCCACCTTCGATCCTCGCCCAACTCGGGTTATAGGCCCATCACAAATCTCATCATGACTTACCTCTAGATGCCACAACCTCTAAGTTAATTCGATGGTCAAAACTCCAAGCTTGGAGTATTGTTCATCCAAACTTAATCCAACTTCTTGACTTCATCATGCATTTTTATTTGGCTACTCTTTCTATTCAATGAGCAGAACGTATGCTTACAAAAAGGATATATTATTTTAATATCAGTCGTCTATCTCCAATTTCTGAATCTATTTAACGCCCTAAGTATTTAAATTTATCTGTCCTAAAACATCCAATATTACTTAAATGTCCTCGTTTTAATTACTAATCCACCCGCTGAGCGCCCTTCCTTACGAAACAACGCCGCCATGTCTCCGTTCTTCCCTCCGCCTTCTGTCCTCCCGCAGCATCTGCTTTCCCAGTTCAACAACAAGACTAAAACTAATTAACGAAATTACTAGAAAAAAATCCCATAATACACTAGTTAGTAAAAAATATTCCCAAAATATAGTACTTATGAAAATGTTGCCCAAAATACAGCAGTTTGGGGTTCACCGCTGCGGACCAAGACAGTGAATATCATCACCGCTGCAAACAAAAATGGTGAAGTGTTCACCGTTTTTGACAAAGGCGGGGAAACCATCACCGCTTTTGTCCAAAACGGTAAACGCTTCACCGCTGTGGTGCAAAACGGTGAAGTGGCGCGTATCGCTGACGTGGACACGCGCGGGCACTTCACTATTTTGAACAAAAGCGGTGATAGCCCGCCCTGTCCACATCATCGATCCGCGCCACTCGCGCACTTCACTGTCACCGTCAGATGCGGTGAGGCGTGGATTCTGGTTTTTCTCCCAGATCTGACGCCTCAAACCGAGCCACGTCATCGATCCGCGCAGTTCACCGCCCATGTGAATTGCGGGGATTGCTTCACCGTCGTGGACCAGAACGGTGAATGCTCTGTGGTCCTCCCTATAAAAACCACCCCATCCCCCCATTCCAACTCACACCACCACTTTTATACTTCTTTCTCCCTCCATTACTTCCCTCTAGTCTCGTTCTAAGTATGCTATGTGGTTACGGCTAAGTCCGATCTTCCACATCAGAAAGAATTACTAGATTTTTCATTTTGTTTTAAATCTTTTGCTCTAAAGTTTCGTCGATACTCTCTCCAGCTTTTCGGCAAAAAATGGACGAAGAGGCTCTGAGAGTATGAAATTTTTTTTTCCAACCTTTGTTGATGTTTTTTTAAATGGGTTTGAAATATTCTAATTTCATTTCATATTTGTTTATAGATGGGTGTTGAGATATACGACCCTCGTTTGTATATCGATCCTGGCCCAAGGGATCGCAAATATTTAAACGAGCAAGAACAACATCGCTCCCGTGCAATTTGGGATAATCCGGTAGACACTCTGTATGTACCGTATAAATTTTTAAATTATTTCAATAGGTTAAAAGTTTTTTTTTAACAACATTGTATTTTTTGTTTTGTAGGAATCACTTATTCCCATCAGTCATCGTGGGACACCGCGCTTGACTAAAGCGGTGAACCATCACCGCTATTGACCACGACGGTGAATGCTAGGTCGCTGTTACCTAACTTCCAACCTACCAGGGTTGTAAAACGTGGGAAAGAATCCCCGTTTTGGAAAACCGCGGTGAAGGGTTCACCGTTTTGGACAAAAGCGGTGATGGTTTCCCCGCATTTGTCAAAAACGGTGAACCCTTCACCGTTTTTGTTTGCAGCGGTGATGATATTCACTGTCTTGGTCCGCAACGGTGAACCCCAAACTGCTGTATTTTGGGAAATATTTTCATAAGTACTGTATTTTGAGAATTTTTTTTACTAACTAGTGTATTCTGGGATTTTTTTCCAAATTACTAATACCACAATCATGCAATAATCACCATTTTCATCGTCCACTGTTTTGCAAGATTCCACCAATGATGCCTGCAGCTTCGTCCTCGACCTCAAGTGCCCCTCCCTTGCTCCTTACGTCGGCGTCGCGGGTTGAAAACCCATCGTCGGCGGGGTAGAGGTGGATCTCCGACACGATGGGTTTTAACATGCGTTGTCACCGTTAAACAAATAACCAAAAAATCAAAGCATATTACTTCCCTCGATGCGACCTTCTTCATCGGGCGTGACGACGACGAGCGGCGCGGCTTCTCCTTCCTTCTCGGCCACAGTGGCGCTGGTTTTTAGGGCGACGGCGGCGGTGGTTTGGAGTGGAGTAGGGGTGGGCAACCGGTTCGGTAAACTTGAACCAAACCAAACTTGAATTAAACCGAACCGAAACCGAATTAATGCTATTCGGTTAGGAATTCGGAAGGAAAATATGGATTGTTCGAAAAACCGAAATATTATAATTGCAAGCTCCAAATGGTGGATTTTTATGTTTGTAGTTGTTTTTAGACTTAAATATTTGAAATGTTTTATGACTTATGTGTGAAAAGTTTGATTTTATCATTGTTGATGCATATAATTACATATTTATTGTTTATATTAGTGGTAAAACTAATTTAAAAGTGAGAAGATACAAGTAGTTTAACAAATTTTGTTTTGTGTGAAAAACCGAACCGAACCGAATTAGGTTTGGGAGAATTCGGGGACCCGACATTCATAATTTTGGTTCGGTCGAAACCGAACCGACCGAATGCCACCCCTAAAGTGGAGGTCAGCGGCGGCGCTGTGTGTGCGATGGGGAGAGAGACGACAGAAGGAGTTAAGTTTAATATGGTTAGTTTAGTACGGATAAATTCAAATACTTAGAGCGATAAATAGTAATTCCCAAAATTTTGCCCCCTAGAGAAGAAATCTCACCATCATGGTTGCAATTTTGATCCCCAAGTCGGGCTTAAAGTCTTAAACTCGTACGTAGGGATGGCAACAAAACACGAACCCACGGGTACCCACCCGACCCAACCCGGTCAACGCGGGTAAAATCCGTGTTGACGGGTTTTGGGCCGGGTTCGGGTTTAAACCCGCTACACTATTCACCGGGTCGGGTTGGGTTTGGGTTTAGGTAAACCCGACCCATGGGTACCCGCCCACACACATATAATTACTTTCCCGGTATATTTAATATTCTAAATAATATATTTTCCTTAAACAATTAATATTCTTTATGTTTGTGGAGACATGTATAATTTGTTCTTTCTAATTGTTTAGAATGAAGTTGATATTATGAAGTGGAGAGTGAAGAAACTTAGTTGACGAGGAAGAAGCTTTCAATTAATCTTTTGTTTATAGATGTTTATCTTTAATTTTGAACAATTTGTATTGATCATTTGCGGTTTGCTTGTATGCTCTAGATTGGTGTTTTTTTGTATGATTAATTTGTATGAGAAAATTTATGTTAAACTTTTATTTTGAAAGAAACTTGTTATTGTAAATTTTTTACCACAAAAACCCACGGGTACCCATGAACCCGCGGATACCCAGCGGGTTGGGTTGGGTTTGAGTTTTTCAAACCCAACGGGTTTTACCCCGGGTCTTTTTGGCGGATAAACCCATGAATTTGGGTTCGGGTTTGACAAAACCCGCCCCAACCCGACCCATTGCTATCCCTACTCGTACGGAGGTAAGTAGTAGTATTTCAAACCTCTTCCCCTCAACCTCTTTGTCGTTTTCTTCTTCCCGCACTTACCCGTCCGTCGAGCTTCATCCGTTTTCGTAGTCAAACCTCGAAAAAGTGATAAACATATATATGGCTTGGCTTCACATTGTATAGAGGCCCTCACCAAAATTGAGCACGACTTTTGAAATAATCAAATCAGAGTTCAAATGGTTAAGAAACCAAACCTTGAACACATTTGAACGTAAATCTATGTTGAGGATTGCGATGTTATTCTTAGGTGTGATGACATTGACAGCCATGGCCTAAAGAGAGTTTTTAACCGTTGGAACAACAGGGGTGAAAAAAAAAAAAAAAAAAAGAGGAAGAGCAAAGAGTTTCGCACACCATATATGGGATATACATTAACCTAACATTCAACGATGGTTGAACTTGAATTCGATCAGCAAAGGAAGCCGATGATTCAGACGTTATTGCTGCCAAGGGTCACCGGACCACCGGGCTCCACCTCGTTATTGAGGTCAAGGAAATAGAGCACAAGCAGGAGCACCAAACAGCTGACGAACATGGGCACGGGCCCAAAGATCCACAGAAACAGAGGCAGCGAGAAGTAGAACGCTCTGAGCCCCAGCGACCAGAAATACCCTCCCCTGTTCAGCGACCTCTCCACGTACTCCGCCGTCAGCAGATGGCTGCCGCTGCCCTGCCGCTGCTGGCGGAGGAGGTGATGAGGGTGTGACGCCGTTAAGGGGACGTTGATGAGGAAACTGGCGTGGCTGTAGTACCTGATCGACTGCACCGTCATCAGGAATGCCACCATGAAACAGAGCAGCAGGGAGAACAACTTCACCGCCATCCCGACCCTGCTCCTGTCGCCGATCACGAATCCGTCGACGGATCGGGCCCCGGGGTTCCCCGCGAGCAGGACGACGATGAGGGATCCGAGCATGATCGCCGTGGTGGCTAAAAGTGTCGACGCCATTATGTTGTTGCGGAGGGTCTGCACCGCCAGGACCCCGTTCTTCGAGGGTTCCTGAATTGAATTGGGACAATACGACGACTATTCGATGTTATTTAAGGGATTCGAATCCGGGATCTTTCGAGTAACAGTAATAATATCACTGGATCAAATTTCTTTGTTCGCGATTTTTAAAGGTGTGCATGTTCACAGAATGTGGCAGGGGACTCTGCCGCCGCTCTGTAATTGATTTGATCGGTGAAACGGGAAAAGGAAAAGGGAAGTTGAAGGAGTGAGGTGGTGTTACCGCCATCATAGCGCGAGCCCAGAATTGGCGATTGATGGAATTGACGCCGATGGTGGTTTTGGAAGGGTGATTGAGGACGCGGAAGAGGAGCCATAGGTGGTAGCACGACATTAGAATGAGGCCCAGTGGAACCAGGGTGAAATCCAGAACTCTTTCCGATGCCATTTTTGTTCGAGCTGCTGGTTTCTGCAGAGAAGAGGGAGGCTTGAGACTGAAGTGGAGAGTGAGGAGGTTGAAGATGAAGGAAAGGAAGGGTTTGGTATTTGTCGGGTAGAGGCAGCTGCTGCTTCGGAGTTAATGGACTGGACTGGGAGGAGAATCAAAGCCTGACACGGCTTCGAGCTGCGTTAGAAAGAGAGCGCCAGGAAAGTCAATGGAATGGAGAATTAATGGTAGAGAAGGGCGCGCGGTACGGCTCCGGATACTATAACAACAGCCTATTTGTTGTTACCGTAACAACAAGGGCAATATAGTCAAATTACAATTAAATAATAAAATAAAAATCAAATCATTTATCAAACGCGTCTTCCTCCGTCCCCCGCTCTTCCGCCGCTGTGTTTCGCCATCCTCCACCTCGAACACCTACACTACGTCTATCCCCATCCTCCGTCGGAGCGTAATCCATCACTATAACCGCAGCGGCGGCGGCCACAAAGAGAAGAGATAGATGGAGTTCGCGACGGTAACGGCAGACGAAAGTGACGGTGGCGGAAGAACGGAGAAGGCGGGAGAGTGGTAAGCAGCAGGGGAAGTGACGGATGTTCTCGATCGCGATCTGGAACCCGTAGAAGGCTCTGGCCTCGGCGACTTGCACTTCCTTCATGAACCGGCCGGCGAGATTCTCGAGGACGATTTCGTCGGAGGCGGAAAAGCCATCGGCATAGGGGCGATGGGCGGGGACTCAGGGGACGGCGCCTCCAGAACTCGTCGGAGCTGGGGAGGAGACTCCGCTGCCTGCTGCTGTTGTTGATGCGGCGGTTGAGGAGGGGAGGAGGAAGGGGAGTAGTAGTGAAGAAGGGAAGGCGGGGGAGGGTGAGATATGTTGCGGTTGTTCTGCGTTTCCAATTGGTACTGCTGAATCGAATCGGTCTCCTGTTGCGGTGGTGGCGACTCTATTTCATAGTGATCTTCGCCTTCTTCTTCCTCCTCCATCCCCGGCGGTGGCGATTGAATATCATCTTGCTGTTTCTTCGGCTCGTGTTCTTTGTGTTCCATAGAGGAATTGGTTGCGAAATTGGAAGCACCGGTGGCGACAGGGCTCGGTTCGGAGCGGCGGGAACCAGCCGGTGGGTCCTGAGAGAGGTCGACTTCTTTCGTTGTCCAGAAGGAGGCTTCGCCTTCTTGTACATCTCCCAGATCTGTGGGTACTCGATGGGGAACATGCAGAAGCAGTCAGGGTTTGGGGCCAGGAGCGGCTCTTCTGGGATGGACAACATATTTGAGGGATTTTTTTAGGGTTTTGGAGACGGGGAAGAAGGGGGGATTTGAAATTTGATTGTTGGATTTGGGGATTTTTTGGTCACTGGTACGGTTACTATTAGCAATTTGAGTGTTTATCTCTTAATTGATTTGGAATATAATTGAAATTTGATGTTTTAAGCACATTAGAAACTTTTTTATACAAACCACGAACACGATAAAACAAATAAAAAAACACACCTAAAATCTCATAATGCAAACCACAAACACGATAAAGCAAATCACAAAAACAAACCAGTAACATTCTAATGCAGACCAAAAATCTATTAAAGCAAACCAAAAACCTCATAAAGCAAACCATAGAATTTTCAAAAACACACCAGAAACCTCATAATCCAAACCACAAACACGATAAAGCAAACCACACAAACAAACCAGAAACATCCTAATGCAGACCAAAAATCTATTAAAACAAACCAGAAACCTCACAAAGCAAACCACAGAATTTTCAAAAACACACCAAAAACCTCATAATGCAAACCACAAACACGTTAAAGCAAACCACAAAAACAAACCAGAAACCTCTTAATGCATACCACAAATCTCCTAAAACAAACCAAAAACCCCACAATGCAAACCACAAAGTTTTTGAAAGCAAACCAGAAACTTCTCAATGCAAACCACAAACACGATAAAGCAAACCAGGAACTTCGTAATGCAAACCACAAACGCGATAAAGCAAACCACAAAAGGCATACAAAAATGTGAGAAATCAAACCATAAATCTCACAATGTAGACCATACATCCGGTGGTCGTTGACCGTTGACCGGTCAACGAAGTTCGTTGACCAAACTCCGATGAACGTCAGTGACCGGATTCCGGCGCCGATAAGCATATTCCGGCCCCGGTGACTAGATTCCGATGCCAGTAAGCATATTCCGACGCCGGTAAGCATATTCCGGCGACGGTGAGCATATTCCGATGACAAAAAAGCATATTCCGACGACAAAAAAGCATATTCCGGTGATCGGCGACCAGATTCCGGCGACCAGTGACCGAATTCCGACGACCAAATTTTTGGGCAGAAAATAAAAAAATATTTTTTTTATTATTTAAACAGATTTTTCATAATGACAATTATAACCCTGCTTTGATTTTACACTAGGTCAACTCATCTAATAAAAAGTCATCACAATCCTAGCTTTCTATTGGTTGAGGACTAGTGTTGTTATAATAACAACACAAAGGGTGTTGTTACAATAACCGGTCCCGCGCGGTACAGAGTTTTGTGTTTTTCTTCCTTCACTTCAGTGATCAGTCTACTAAAGTAGTAATTACGTAGTCCACTCCCAATTTTTAAATTTATTATTTTTTCCCGAGAATCTTTATAAAATATTTTAATTTTTTTTGGTGAGAATCAATGGGATATTCTTTTTATGTCGTATCCTCATGCATAATCGATTGTAGGAGAGGAGCTACGCTGCTAATTGTACAATAGTTAGCACCGTCCTAACCAAGGGAAAAACTACTACTAGTTTGAATTAGTAGTGATTTAGCTTAGATGTTGTATTGATTTTATAATAACCCGTAGTGATTTCGTTATTTTTAGTAGCGTTTTTTGCTAGTTATCACGGTGCTAACCCCTATAAGGGTTAGCACCTAATCCCATCCCTCGATTGTAGTGGTGGCAGTTCGGTTATAACCGATAATCGATTGGCCGGTTATCGGTTAACCGAAATAAACATCCCCCTTACCGAAAACCGACCGAAATAGGTTTTGATTTCTCGGTTACCTCGGTTATCGGTTAACCGAACCACTTTTAAGACCAAAAACCATTTTTGCCAGCTTCCGATAACCGACCGAAGTTTGGTTACTTCGGTTACCGGTTAGTGGATAACCGGCCGGTTAACCAATAACCGGTAACCGAACTGCCACCCCTAATCGATTGTACATATTTTTCTTAATTCTGGAAAACAAATTTAAAAGAAAAGGAAATTGATTTTGTTTAAAATGTAGATCTGTAACACCTACAAAACATAAATCTTACTTCGCATCACTTCTTAAATTACTAAAAAAAAAAAATCTATGATATTTTGCTATAACGCTCACAATTATTATGCGAGTGCATGTGGATTGTTGTTGGATCGTCCACGAACTCATAACATTTGGTTGATTGACGCAATGAAAATATATTAACAAATTTAATCATTGCGTAGACCCAACAATCTATCATGAGTTCCTTCAGTTCCAACAACTCTATGCATCTATGAACACGTACTCACAAAATGACTGACAAAATTACTGTGAGCATGCATGCATCATAACTTAATTATTCCTCAGGATCCGTCCATGGAAGACCCAAAGCAAGGTCTTGACTGAGGGAGGAGACAGACAAATTCATATTTACTACCATCACGTTTTTGCAATGAATGGGAGATCTTTCCCTTCCCGGGCAGTTTGCCCGTCTTGTCTTCATTCTAACTTCAGCTTCCATCTGTACGGTGCTGCAGCACTTTTACAAAAACAAAATATAATTTGGCTTTCTCCTCCACCCCAACCGCAGCGAAACCTATTTTTAAAATGAGGATGACCGTGATTAGATTAAGCCTTAGGATATTAGAACGTGTTAAGTCAACTTCCTAACAGGTTTGGTTTGGTGTTCATTTTGTCTTTCACTCGATCAACTATTATTATTTGGTATATTGAGAAAATTCCATGGTATTGTACTTGGCCGCTCATACTAAGCCGTCTCTTGGGCCGAGTATAGAGAATGATCCGTCAGTACGTTCCAAATCTTATCCGTGGGCTAGTCATTGCCCCACAGGCCCATCGATCCAGATTCTCTACTATTTTAGGCCCATTGAAAGTTTGAGATCAGTACATGACAGGCATACAGGCCCAATACCAAATTTCTCAGAGTCAACGACATCATCGTCCCAACTTCCCAAGCGTCGGCCCACCAAGTGGAACCACACGCTTCTAAATAGTCAAAAGACAACCTGAGATCATTTGAGAACTTGAAAAGGTTTTCTGATCCATGCAAATCTTCATTCCTAGATGCTCCTGTCTGTAAAATCATCCACGATTCCCATCTTTCCACTAATTTGCTTATCCAACAGTGATGGAGATTCTCTTTTCTAAGAAGTCTCTAGATGTATAGTTTGATTGATTGGTGATACAAACTCCTCACCATCAAATTCTGAGCGTAAGACCTATCCTAGTAAAAGATACTGAATGTAAATTAGTCATATATAAATGCCCCTATCGAAACTTATTTCTTAACGAAAATTTTACTCAGCAAGAGTATCCACAAGATTCATTGTGCTATTTCTTGTATTTACTTGGGCTTTCTACTCAATGGGTAGAACATATACAACAAAAAAGAGACTACTGTTATGACTTGAATCTGTATACCAGCTATTTCTTGTATTTACCTGGGCTTTTTACTCTTTATGTAATATGTATTCTGGTAGAGTAGTCAAAGAGTAAAGGAAATACCACATTGGTGGGAGAAAGAAAGTGTAAGTTGTTTTTAATTTTGCTTTCCACTTTAGTTATTGGATAAAGTGGTTAGTGGGCTTTTGGAAAAAGTGTCGGCTATTTAATTTGACATATTAAACTGCACTATGCACTTAATTCGGATTTGAATTTTTGGCTAATTAATTACCGGAATTATTTTAATTAATTAATCCGGATAATTATTTGATTTTTGACTTTTGTGAAACGACGTAACCCTTCGGAAGGGAACCACCGTTTTCACTACAAAAGTCTTCTGTAGCCAAACTTCTCGTCAAACGTTCATCTTTTTCTCCTCGTTTTTCCTTCTAAAAAAAGACAAACACATAAGTCACGAAAGGTGCTGCTTTCTGACTTTGATTGGAGGGACTCCTGGGGGTGGTTTGCCTAAATCCTATCAGCAACTAAGTAGTGGGGGCAAACACTACAAGAAAACTAACCTATAGAGGCAAATAAATAGAAACAATTATTGTATTGGTATCGATAGCTAAGTTTTAGGGTCAGAAATATTATTTGTTTCAATAGGAGAAATTATTTGTCTCTATAGGTAAATCTAATAGCCTTTAGAAACAAATACAAATGCTACTTATAGTATATCATATAGAGGCAAATCTTATAGTATTTAGAGGCAAATATAAATGTCGCTTATAATCATGTCATATAGAGAAAAATTCCTTAGTATTTAGAAGCAAATACAAATGTTTCTTATATTTATTTCATATAGACTCAAATATAATAGTATTTAGAGACAAATACAAATATCTCTTATAGATATGTTAATATAGGTGCAAATCTAATAGTATTTAGAAACAAATACAAATGTCTCTAATAGTTATATTAATATAAACGCAAATATAATGATCTTTAGAGACAAATACAAATGTCACTTAAAATTCTAACTATGTACGAGTAAGTTATAAATAATTCCCCTTTGTAATTGCTAACCTAGTTACTCCCCTCGTTTATTAAAATATAATGTATTAAATTTTGAAGAAAAGAATTTTGAGAGAAAACTAATAATTAAACTACTTATTCCCCATGTCCCCATTCCTGCCGCATGCAAATGCCTTTTTCAGCATTCATCTCCCTCAAGCCGCTAACCTCTCTCTTCCCGATCAAAACGTCATAATCGTGATTGTTCATTAAAGCAACCATCATCTCAACCTCAATCCGCCATCTCTCTTCTTCCCACCCAACCTTCTAGCCGTGACGACTATCCATTTAGGGACGACGACTACCGATTTCCGTTCCGATTATCGCAGCAGTCGATCGCTATAAGCACGAATCTTGGAGTTTCGGAGGTAAACATAATTTTGCTTCCTAAGATTCAGTTTTTATGGGGTATCCGATGAGATTCGGCTTTTTTACGGTGAAGACGAATGTTACTTCTCCTCTTCCAGGGATTGGAAGTATCCAAATGGTTTCCGTCCGAAGGAAGAATCTCGGAGGTGATAAGTCCGTTGGAGTAGGCGTTCGTGTTCTACGCCCATCATTCATCTCCCCCAACCAGTCATCATCTTCCATCTTGTAACCCGACGCTCATGGTTTTCGTCGTCGCTCAAACCACCATCTCCTCAATCGCGTCAACAGGCAAGAACGACGGCCACCAGTCGATGAGAGTGTGAGCGGCTGGAACGGATTTCACGGATTATTTTAATTCAATTATTAGTTTTCTTTCTCAGTTTTCTTTTTGGAATTTTAATTCGCCTCCTCTAGATTGCTCCGGTAGTTGGGTTGTTCATCGAGTACTGCAGTAAGGATTTAGAAACGTGGTGATGGCCTACTTTTCCTCGCTCAATTGATTTCGATTAGGTCTTGGATGTATTCATTTGGAGTGGTTTAATGTATTAAAAGGATGTATTCATGTATTATAATAAAATAATTGGTATTTTATTATTTTAAAAATAATATACTGAAAACTAATTAAATTTAATATTATTGTTCTTATTTTATAAAAATTGAATGGTGTGTACTTTCTGCAAAAAGGGAAATTCCACGAAAGTAGATTATATTTAATTAAAATAAAATTATCAAAATTAAACTAAAAACAAATTTATTTGCTTCAAAGTTTATCCAATCGAGACAAATATCGTGTCACCATAACATCTTTTCGAAGCAAATACATTTTTCTCAAAAACTACTATTACAAACAAAAATATATGTCTCTAAAACTAAATTAAAAGATAGAAAAGTAGGTGTTTAAAAGTGGAAATGCCATCAAATTTTTTTTGTTTCCAATTCGGTAATTAGATGCAAATATTATTTGCTACTACGTCTGCTTCTAAAGGGAATTAGAGACAGAGGCGTCCGATGCAAATAACTTATCTGACTCAATTGATATACATAAACAAATAAATGACTTTTAGAATCCAATAACCTCTGCCTCTAATGCTTGATTTTCTTGTAGTGAAATAAACACTCTAAGTAGAGTGATCAAAATCACGCTTTCAATCCGTTTTCTCCATACTGTTTCCGTGACATATTCTCCTTAATATGGTAAAATTGAACTCTTCTAACCGTGAAGTAACCAACACGGTGTAGTGAATTTGGAAGCTAAACGAGAATATGAGTTGAAAAGACTTTAGAAGCTTCCATCTTTCACCTTGTAATTAAGAAACAAAGACCAAAGAGCTTGACAAGGTTGATTACATTAGTTAGCTAGAAAAGATGGTAGAAGATTGTCATGGATCTTTTAATGACGAAGTGATTGATACAGAACTTTTCTAATGACTACCTCACAAATTTTGACATTCGTTGCATGGGGTCTGGACCGGTCAAAATCTCAATCAGCCCTCTCATTATCTTATTTAACATGTGTTGCACATTTTCCCCTTTTATTTTAATCAAATAAATCCACCACTATCACAAGTAGGTCCCATAAAATATTTTTCTTTTCTTTTGAGTCCCCCACTTGATGTTTTGTTCGTTTTTGGCTTTGGCATGGTCCTAAATAAGTTGGTCGTTAGTTAGGCTTTAAAACCCCACCTACTTAATTCATTTAAGGCTAATCTTTTTGTATATAACCAGACTTATTCTACTTCATCTTTCTCTTGTATCATGTATTAACTTTCATGTAAAAAATTGATTTGATGAATCACATATTGAAAAATTGACTAGATAAGATATAGAGCCAAACCATGGTTGATTTCAGTTCAATATGTTAGTTTAGCCTTGGATGAGATTCTCATCAACTTATTGAGATGGTTGGTGGCTGCAGAAAAATTTGATTAAAATAGCAAAAAGAAGTGTTTGGAAAGTATAATAATTAAATGAAATCAATGAAGGATAACAATAGCTTAGTGGTCAATTTCAAGCACCCATTATTCAACTTTAAAACACATGGCTGGCTGCAGTGATTAGGTTAGTGAAGGAATATTATATAACAAATACATCTAGAAACAAAGGTTAAATTGCACACTTCGACAATTTGATTATTTCAGACGATCATTATCACTTGTTAATTTTTTTTATATTACCTTTTTGACACACAAAATTAATTTTTTATTGTAGAATAGAGTACTAACTCAGCTCTTAAGTTAAAGTCACCTCATTCGAGAAAGTCGAAAGAATGATAATCCTAGTGTTTAATTAATTCTTAAACTCCATTTGAAGAGTTAATTCCGGTTTTGCTCGCTCTTAACCAATATCTCACCTATCAAATAGTTGAGGAGTAAGAGAATTTCAGATGATCTATGTGTCCCTTGTAAATAACACGAACAAGAATAGATAAATAGTTGTGCTTTCAACTTCCAAGTCAGTATATAACCATATACAGGTTTCCCTACCATCTTAGTACAACTGTACAACCATTTGCATCACCACCACCAAGATGACCAAAACCATAAACAAAAGCTTTGTTGGAATCCGAATGTCCAAACCAAGTGGAAGTTGATTAATACATGATCCAACCTTATGAACAAAATCGAGCAACTACGTTAGTTTTCTCGTAATACTCACGAGATGGTATAGCAGCAATAAAGAATATATTGATCAGACAACACAACTAGCCACAATGATCACCTCCTTGACCAACCACTATCATCTTAATCAAGCTCAACCTAAACTATAATGTACTTCCCCAACCACTTTCTAGCTAATGGATACAAACCAATGCTTGGCAGGAGAAGAATGTGGTGAGGCAGATGAACACAGAAGTTTAAAAGTAGTGATCCAAATGGCAATTAACCCCACCACCACCAATCCACCATCACCCCCCACAAAAAAAAAAAAAAAAAAAAAAATTTGTTGCCATGTGATAATTGCTAAAACAGCAACCAATCATAACTCTGCTCTCTGGTGCAGTCACAGTCCCACTCATTCACATGCTTTCCTTTCTCTTCTCTTCCCCACAAAAATTTATATGAAAACCATTAATCAGACTCCCAAAAATCTCAGAATCCCTTTTCAAACAACAACAAGAGATCTTTGCCAGATCAGCTTCAAACAAAGCCTATCAGAAAGCTCCACTCTTTTTTACCCTATCCAGCATAGAAAATAGCATGTGAGGTCTGTTTCAGCTCTCCCACTGCTGAAAATGGAGAGTCATTCAACCTCTCAAACTAACAACCCACACAGACATGATTTTCACACAGAAACCCATATCAGGCAAATCTTGCTTCCCCAGAACCTTTCTGGAAATCTCTTGTGTTGTTCCTTGTCTCATCAACCACAAACCACAAATGTCAGGTTACCATCTGACATGATCTAATCAGAGGTTAATCGTCGCAGCGAGCTCAACTTGACTCGCTCGAGATTGAAGAGTTCATAAATGCAGTAACTCTTTGATAATGAGAGCTTAATTGTTCGTAAGAACGAACGAGCTTATGCCAACCAGCAGCACAACTGAGATTGAAGAGTTTCTAAATGCAGTAACACTTTGATAGTGAGAGCTTAATCGTTCGTTCTTACGAACGAGCTTTACACGACGCAAAGTGGGTTAATCCAAGTGTGAATCCAGTGATTATGGAAAGAGAAACAGCTCCCAAACATACCCATCAGCAGCAGACATGAGAGAGATAAAAAGATTTATCAATTTCATCAGCTTCACAACAACATATGATTGATTATTACTGTATATACACCACATCAACGAGCCGATATTTTGACAAAGGTACAGAGGCAGAGCTTTTTTTTTTGTAGCAAAAAAAATATGGTCCTGTCTCCCTTTTCTCATCTTCACTTCAGTGGGAAGAAGAGGAAGCAGCAGCAGCAGTAATAATCCCCTAATACATCCATAATACTTACTGCCTCAATCGAAACCTAAACTTATATCTGATTCTCAAACTTAATAATGTTACACTAAGACCAAATATAAGCCAAAAAAGACAACACTAGTTTACATTTCTGCTCTAAAATGTGGGAGCCCTAATAAAATTGTGTCCCCAAAACTGGTGCAATCTCAATGAACATGCAATAAACCAGCTGGTTTGCTGCAGCTTAACTTACTTGCCACTATCGAAAGTCACCAACTTTGTTAGACAAAGCTAACCTGAGCTGCTCCTGGGTATAGAACCGGCTCCCCATCTTCACAGTCGCTTGCTGGATCATTAACTCATTCACCACGGAGACACTGGCATGGTGGACGTCGAGATCCAGCTCTTGTAAAGCAGCCATTAGTCTAGCTGCTGGATGGTTCCTCTTGCTGCATTGTATCCTTATCATTGCATCCCATCCGATTATCTTCACTTCGATCTCCATCTCGATTTGCGAGTTGTTAGTGCTGGACGAGTTCGATGCCTTGAGGTCGTGGTTCTCGGGTGGTGGTGGCTGCTGATGATGTGACGACGATTCGTCCCTGAATGACTCGACCTGCTTCTGGAGCTCGTCTTTCTCGGATTCTGTGGTCTGGAGCTTCAGTCGGAGCTCCTTGATGTAGGAAATGGCGTCTCCCAAGAGGGAAGCTTTGTCCATTTTAGAGACGTTGGGGACTACTGCTCTTAGAGCATAGAATCTCTGGTTCAGCTTCTCACGCCTTTGCCTCTCTGCTTCGACGTGGTTCAATGGCTCTTCTCTGCCGTTGGCTGGTTTCCTCCCTCGCTTTCTAGGTCGCTTTTCGGGCTCCACGATTCGGCTGGAGTCGACTTCTTTGACCACGGATGCTTCCAGGTCGGAGTGGTCGGAGTCTGCAGCGGCAGTGGATTTGGCTGTGCCAGAGGAAGGCAGGATTACGCCGGAAGTGAATGAGAGCATCCCTTCATCGATGCTTCCTCTGGAAGTCGGGGATCTCTTCTTCTTGTTGTTGCTCTCTTCCAGCTGCGGAGGATGGCCATGACTGCCGGAGAACATATTTCCATTTCCCCCGCTTGATGTGGTCCTCTTGCTGTCTCCGAAATTCAGAATCTCGCCGGATTCCGGTTTCAGAATCGAATTCCCATTACGATTGCTGTTGTTTCCCCCAATTCCTTCGTACTCGCTGAAGTTCAATTCGCGTGTGAAGAAGCTGTGCGTCTGGTTCTGGTTCTGATTATGGATTCCTTTAGGATTCTCCGTCAAGCCGCTTGAGCTAGGGTAAGAATTGTTGTGGGGGTGGTGATTAGGGTTCCCGCCGCTGGACGACGGAGCAACGGTGGCCGCTACGGCGGAGGAGCTCTTGTTGTTGTTGCAGTTGGTTCCACCACCGTCCTTCATTTCCGGGTCGGTGATCCAGAGCGAAGACGGGTCGTTCTCCCCCTGGTCGGGATTCGACGGCGTCGGCGGCGGCGGAGCCCAGGAACTTTCGATCCCGCCGCTGCTGCCACTGAAATTGAACAAAACCCTAACCTTATTCATCAGATCCGAGCTCTGGTAAATCGGGTCCGTCGACCCGAGCTCGACGACGCCGTTGGCCGACGGGATGCAGACGATTGTTTGGAGGCCGAACACTTGTCCCTGCTTGGCCCGGTCGCAGGGAGCCGCAGCCATACGATCCGACCCGACCAACCAGGCCGGAGACCCGTTGAAGAAAGCCTGACCCGGCAACCCGACCCCGTTCACAAACGACTGGGTCATGGAGACCAAGAAGAACCACTCGGTATCCGTAACTTCCTCGTCCACCGCGTCGTCGGCGGAGGCGGCGTTGGGGCCGGAGATCAACGAATTGAGCTCCCGGAGAACCTTCTTCCGGTGCTCCTGCTCCGCCGTGCTGGTATTCTTCCTCAATTTCCCTTTCCCCTTATTGTCCTCCCCCTTATAGTACCCGTCGCCCCACCCCAAGACGGAAGCGCCGGAGAAATCGTAGGACGATTGCCAGAAGATGGCGTAGGTCCAGTTCTCCCTGGCGCCATCGATGAGCGCCTGGAGGCGCTGCTGGAGGGTTTCCTGATTGAAGAGCGGCGGCGGTAGGGAGGGCGTCGGCGGGGGAGGCTGGCTGTGGTGGTGAGATTTGACGGGATCGGCGGCGGGGGTGGAAGTGGAGGTGGAGGAGGAGTGGTGAGGTGGCGGAGGGACCGGCGGCCAGAGTGCGGAGAGATCGGAATTCATGAAGGCATCCATGACGGAGGCGTTGTCGTCGGTCCAGAGGTTCATGGTCGCGGCGGAGGGGAGGCGGTAATCTGTCATTCGACGGCGGCGGAGGGAGGAGGAAGGGGAATTTGATTTTTTTTGTTTGGGGAGGAGGGAAGTAAAAAAAAAATGGAAATTAAAGTGCTGAATTGTGAGGAGGAAGTGGTGGGTGGAATTTAGAAGTGCGGGGGGCAGGGCGAGGCGAAGGAGGATAAGATGCAGGAGCACAGGAAAGGAAGGGAAAAGGAAACGGGGAGTTGTTTTGGACATTTGTGTACATTTCGGATTTTATTTGGAGTGAATTTGAGCTAAATTGTGGCATTCAAACTATTTTTTTTATTAAGATATTGTTCGATTTGAGTTTACTCGGTAGAATTTTATTTTTGTATGTATGCATATCATTGAGGTCATATATCATTTACATTGTTCCACGTCAAGCATGTTTGACTTCGGACTTCTCGTATGAATTCAATTTTATTCAAAACACGTATGGTCAATTAAGGTTGGATTGTTCTTTATGAATCATGAATTTGTCTCAAGCTTTGTAAGGGTAAGATTTGATTAAGTTGTTACATACACCACCTGGGGCTCAATGTTCTCGTTAAGATATGCCCCCACAATTGGCCAAATATAGATACAGACAGGCTATGATACCACTTTTAACATCCCGACTCTTTATGATCAAGATATTGTCCACTTTAAGTCTTCCTGAAACGATTTTTTCTTTTGGGTGCATAGCGTAGTGACTTCCGTACAGGTCACCAGTCTTTGCACCGCTACACATTGAGCAAGTTTGACTTCAGAGTGCAGACACGTCGTTAATTAATGAATCTTCCATGGCGGTAGATTGATCTTTCACGAACAGCGTAGCATATCCTCATGCGAGGACACCAAACCACAATACATACGAACCTAAGAACTCCTCTAGTTCACCCCAAAAATATTTATTGTCAGTTAAGGTTGGATTGTTCCTTGTGAATCATGGATCTCTCTCGTGCTTTGTTGATATAGGATTTTTTTAAGGTGTTACATATGCCCCCTCTTTGGGACTCAGTCCTCGTTGAGGTTTGCACAACCAACGCCCAAGAGGGACGCAGAGAGGCTCTAATACCACTTTTAACATCACGATCCTTTTATGACCAAGATATTTTCCGCTTTGAGTCTACGCGACACAATTTTGCTTTTGGGTGCGTATCATAGTGACTTCCCTATAGGTTACCAATTAGTGCACTACTCCACAATGAACACACTTAGCTTCAGAGTATCATAATAACTCTTTCATTTCACCCAAAACGCGTCTTGTCAGTTAAGGTTGGATTATTCCTTATGAATCATGAATTTCTCATGCTTTGTCGATGTAGGATTTTCCTAAAGTGTTACATAGCCCTTCGTTGGGACTCAATGTCCTCATTGAGGTTTGTCCCACCATCTCCCAAGAGGGATGCATAGATAGTATCCTTATCCTATCCTGACCAAGATATCGTCCACTTTGGGTCACTCGCCACGATTTTGTTTTTGGGTGCCTAACGTAAGAAGCAGCAGGGTTACCTGGTTTAGGAACAGTAGCATCATGAGTCTCAGTAGCAGAAGGAATCATATCTTAGTGACTTTCCTGTAGGTCACCAATCCTTGCACTACTCTACAATGAGCATGTTTTACTTCAATTTCTCACAATAACTCCTCAATTTCAACCCAAATACATCTTGTTAATTAAAATTGGATTTTTCCTTATTGTCATTGTATTATTGAACTAGAATCGTTGGATTTTATTATTTTGTATATTGTAATTATATATTCTATATATATATATATAATAAAGACTAGCATGTGACTAATGTATAATGTACAATGCGTTCACATCTATTAGATGTGTTTCAAGTACTTCAACGAATCAGAATTGTCGATTATTGTTTTGATTAAATTGATCTTCTGGTTTATGTTTAGAGAATCAATATTTGGGATACACCTACAAAAAGGTAAAATAGAGTACATGTTCCAAACTCTAATCAATTAATGATCTAAATAACAATCTCAGTTGGATAAAATTAGGATTCACAAGTGGAAATCTTAGTTTAAAGCAAATGTTTTGGGTTGAAATCAGTAATGTAGAAGGAGCTTTCTTTTTCTATTAGATACTTTGGGGAAGCTGGTCGATCTTCTTCACATGCGTGCTTGATGAACTCTAATCTTTCATTTTTCTTTTCCAAAAGGAAGATGGAACTCTAATGATATGTTTTAACTGATAAAAAGAAAAGAAATTATAAAGAGAAATAAAACAAAAGAAAAGTAGTTGTTAGTTATTAGTATATTAAAAGAAAGAGGCCAAAGGCCCAACTGGGGTACTTAGGTTGGTCATACTGTAAAGGAGTGGGTTCTCACTTGTTTGGTTTGCTTATGCTTTCAAGAATTTTGATTTGCTTCAAATCCACCCCTTTAAAGATCAATTTTAAATATCAATGGACTTAAGTAACCCAAATCCTTATTAATTTATAGGTTAATAATGTAATTAGTCCCTATACTATTCTATTCCAACATATACGTGTCTGTATCATGTATTGTGTCGTTTATATTTTATAGTCTCATTGTTAAAGACCATGTCCAAATTTATTAATCTTTGGGTGTATCAGGTTTGATATGTACGTCCATGTGATAACTCACATAACATGTTTATGCATCGGGATTATTTCTCATATGACAAACTCACCATTTTCGTTACCGGTTTGCACTAAATTAATTCAGATAATATAAACATAATATTAGAGAAATTTGTTATAAGTTTTGGATTGTTTAAAGTCTTTGCAAAGATATCTCATCATTTATTTTAACCGATCAAAACAAAAGAGGAAAGCAAGGCAACAAGTGGAGATATTGCTGATATATTTTTTTTTAATTTCTAGGATGTCATTTTTAAGGCAAATGGGTCTAGAACCAATTTATAGACTAATCAAACAAATCCATAAAAAATACAACTGATACAGAAGAAAATAAACCACTGAAAATCGAGTGGGGAAAGAAGATCGGTCGCTACACTTACTTGCTACACTTTGCTCCTCGATTGTATAATTTTAAGAAATTCAATCAATATATATGGTCAACTTTATTTTGATAAATCTTACAGGAAAAAAAAACTACTTTAATGTCCATCCTTTCCATAAATATTTTAAACTATCCCAAATTGATAACACGGCCAATAAACAAACAAGCAGGTGGGATTTTCTTCTATAAACAAAAGACAAACGATTTTGCTTCACAAAATGGCCACAAAACCAAATTAAACCAAACCGATGGCTCCTATTGTAGGAAGAAAAGGAGGGCTGAAAGAGAGTTAAGTGAGTGAGAGGTGGCAGTTCCTTCGAAAATGAAGTAAAAGGAACAGTGGATGTTGAAACTTTAAGTCCAAAACAAAATGATTGAGCCTATAAAACTCACTTACGAGTTCAATAAAAGACCCTGACACTACGATTAAAAGACGACGAGGATAATAAATTTGGTACAATTTTGATGTTTCACTATCCGTATCAAAATCATATGATATCATTTGATACAACGTAACTATGTTTTAGACTATCTTATTTTATCATTTAGACTGCGAATCTTTCATGTCCATTAAGTATTGTAATTATTTTTTAGGCCGCAAGTCTTGATCATTTTCCCATACGTCTATAAACAAGTTCTCACTGAAATTTTAATTAACATCAAGATTATAAGAAATATTTTAATTTACATACCATATCAAGAGTCAAGACTTCCCAAATTTAGGAAAAATTTCTACAACTTTGGTAAAGTTTATCTAAAGTTTGAGAAAAAGGTATGTTTTGTTAGGAGCTTTTCCTTTATGCATACGATACCAAACAGGTAAGCCCAAGGAGTCATTATTCTATACGGTATTACTTGCCACAAGCACAAATGAAATTGCAGGGAAGAATTCTCGAATCAAAGGACAAGATCAAGAGAAGACAGTTGCTGAGCAAAAAAAGTATAATTGGAAGAAAGCAATAAAACAAGTGCATACAATGTGGCAGGCAATCATACATAAAGCAAGAGCAATTACTCTGTGATTAGCAATATGTGTGAGAAGTGACATAAATTCATTCTCTGTACTACTTGAGTGTTGTGAGCTTGTCTGAGTTCTCTATTTAGTGCGAGCTTGTGAGGAAGAGAGAAAGTTTTCATATTAATCTCTATTCTTGTCAAGAATTTGAGTTCCACAAAAAAAAAAAAAAAAAACTCAACTTGGAGTAATATGGTGAATAAGAGAAAAACCTATACAACTAAGTATCAAAGGGCGAGACACCATTGATCTGAGATATAAACAATAGGTTGAACTCGGTTAACAAAAACATCTTGTGTCTGTGTTCAGTTCTTTACGTTTGCTTGCTCTATTTCGCTCTACTGCAGTCTGTAGGTACTCTGTTATGTTATCTACAGAACAATCAAGGCGAGAAAGGTGACTAAGTTTAAGTGAAGTAGACAATCTTCCAACCCCTAAAAACCTATTGTGCTTGGGTGACAAAATGTGGGTCTCAACCTGAGTTCAGAAGCTAACCATTGGAAGAAGATCAAAAGTCTTCTTTCTTTTCCCTCGTTGTCTTCTATTTTAGTCACTATCTAGTTTTGTGGAACTTAAGCTGAGTCTGTAGAGAGTAGGGTTGATGAGATGAAAAATATTTCGTATTAGCATAAAATATTGTTTATTGGAGGATGAATAGCGTGTTTAATAATGAAGTACGAATAGATTTCTATAAAATGATGATTAACGAAACAATTTTAAGAATAGAATTTTTTTTTGGAAGGGGTGAATTGTAAAATAAAATTCTTTTGGTGAGATTGATTTTATATTTAATTACTATATGTTATAGAATGAATCATTATTTTTATTAAAATTTCATAAAAATATAACAATAATGAAAACAAATTTAGAAAAACTAGGCGCAACACACACTCAGTAATATTATTAAGAGGTCATTTGGTGTTGGTAATAATTTGGTTGAGATAGTTATAGTATTTGTATTATTCACAAAATATATTTTCTATATACTTTCTGCCCAAAAAGTACAAGTATAGTTTGTTTGACGTGTCATAAACTATCACTTATTATAAATAATAGTTAGGGTATGCCTACTATGACATGCATGTCACCGTGACATGGACTTTTCGGTCGACCTAATCCTGAAGGCGGTCGACCGAATTGACTAATTTGGGCAACACGAGAAAGCATTGCGGTCGACCTCAAGACCACCTGGTCGACCGTTCTTAGCTTAAGTTGTTATTTTTGGTTGACCAGAATAAACCTCGGTCGACCATTTCGTTGGCGTCAGAAACAACATGGTCGACCGTAAAGGTATATAGGTCGACCACTTGATGGCACTCATTAACAACATGGTCGACCAGATAAAGAAAGAGGTCGACCAGATAGACGATAAGTGTTCTATCAAATTATCCAATCATTTGACGTAAAATGAAGATCAAGTATTGGTGTCGAGGTCGACCTAATCCGGTACGAGGTCGAGCGAATACAAGAAAGTCAACCTATGCCTCGTGTCTTTTTTGCTTATGTATGTCGATTTGTGTGGTTCATTTGCTCGTATAAATTACGCTTTAAACCATCATAACTAGTCATAAATAATGATAACAAGGACTCATCAATTATGCTATGAATTGAGGTCGACCGCCTTTAGGATTAGGTCGACCGCAATGCTTTCTCGTGCTGCCCAAATTAGTCAATTCGGTCGACCGCCTTTAGGATTAGGTCGCCCGAAAAATCCATGTCACAGTGACATGCATGTCACCATAGCAAAATCCTAATAGTTAAATCTCATGTTTTAGGTGAGATTAAGATAGTTTGTATGAGATTGTTAACCTTTTTATATTCTAACTACATCTTTATGAGTTGTTATTTTACCGTAAAAACAAAAGATAAAAGTGATATTTCTACCAAAAAGTAGTGTAACTTATGTAAATACACCAATAACTATAAAAATCAAACAAAATAAACTACAATACACTAATTTCTTAATTACATGTATAATATTATACATATGTTGTTTACCATGCTTTAATTTAACTATCAATAAAACCAAACAACACTAAAATATATAGAAAAGAAACAATATGCTTGCTATACCATGTCCAAGGGGCAGACAATATTCAGTTAAAAATTATAATTGCCAACTAAAACTTCGAATATATTTATAACTGGAACCGCGCTTTGCTGCGGACTACTCAACATTGTGTTGTTGCAGTTTCCCGTTGAGTCTTAATTCTTTTTGTGGTGACGTATTAAGTTGATAATTGTTTACTTTTCATAGAAAAATGAAAATTGTTTATTTGATATGTGTATACCTAACCAAACATTCATGTATAGTTGATGAAATTTCTAACCCGGGTAGAAAAGAAAAACTCTAGAGAGAATAAGAGGAAATACAAACTGGAACTCGCTTAAAATTCCACGCCTGCAAATCCCATTGAGGAGAATGACGACCTTTTAACAAGTAGAAAACTATATTTTTTTAATTGGACTCGACATTGAGCTGAAAAAGTTAGTGGTTCATGGTTCAACTATTAATTCTATAGACTGTTGGTGAGTCATGTATGGAACCATTCATACTTGTGAATAAGAATACATATAAATGGTATACTAATTAGGGTTTGACGAAGAAGGCAAAGAAAGAATAAAGAAAGGGATGTAGAAGGCGAGTGAAAAATAAAACGAAAAGAAAGTAGATAATGGAAAGGTTTTAAACAAGTCTTTTCGTTGA